AATTAACTAAACATGTTAATAATAGTAAATAAGCATTCGACTAAATTACTTAAAATTACCCTTATTTATCACAGTTGATAAACCAGTATTTTATTTTTGAAGTTATGCTTCTTTTGGAACGTTTGGAAAAAATAATGAGAGTAAAATTTTTACGATGCGTGCGCACTCCGACAGCCAAAAAGCGACATAATGAAGTTAGCTGCATTCCTTTTACAAACAGAGTTGTGACCACAGAAATCTTAATAATATTACCTTATTATTAAGATTTCTGTGGTTGTGACATATGGGATGAAATCTTTAGCTATTTTTGTTCTGTTACGCCAGAGAAGTAAGTATAACTTCTTACATGCGTACATAAATACACACACACGTTTTTTTTAATTTTCTAAGTTTTAAATGAGGGCGTTAAGTTTTAGATTAGCATTTATACATATGTACAAGAAGTAGAGATTAGCACTAAGAAAGAAACATACATAATATGTATATATTATGTTATAGAAGGCGATAGATTTCAATACACGATTAAATGATAACAGCTTGTGATCACCTTTAATCGTGTATTGACATGTGGAAAACAGCTGGTGTAGTAGTATTTCTATTTAGCATGCACCAAGTTGACGCACTTCGACACCGAATATTATAAACAAATAAGAAAGTGAATCGTGTGGTATATATTAAACAATTGCCAGGCGATTTTGGGCCGTGGTACCATGCAATAGGGACAGGCTGATAGGTCAGGATGTTTTATTGACATCGGAGAGAATGTTTTCACTGATATTGAGATAGTGCACGACGTGGGTGGGAGATGAGGGAAATATGTCGTTAGTAAGGTCATCTAAGTACTCTTGCACTCGGCTTCAATGTATTAGTGACTATAATGACCTGCCCTCGCTTTGCTTATTTTAGCTGAGCCTTGCGCTAACCAACAATGTTAACACCTCCACGTAAATTTCTAAGAAATTAATTAAATTTCTAAGGAATCTATTGTTAACTGAATCGCCGGCGTGTCCGTGGTCGTGGAGGGATTAAATATCAATTATTCATGACATAACTGTGAACTCTATCTTTTCAATCATATTATCAACTAGCGACTTACACTCGTTTCGCTCGGGTGCGTCCCGAGGTATTCGTTTAAATTAGTTTTAGTTCACAATGTCATGGGTTTTAATTTTTTTTGCGCGGAACTCTAGTTCTTTTTCTAAACGAAAAATTGCCTTTAAGTTACTCCTTATAAAATCAACTATCTGCCAGTGAAAGTCCCGTTAAAATCGGTCCAGCTGTTTGGAGATTAGCCGGAACGAACAGACAGATAGACAGACTTATATTTAGAGTATTTTTCTTTTATGTACTGTATATACTTTCATATGAATTTAGTAAAAGCTATTATTTTGTCATTACAAACAGACACTTCAATTTTATTTATTTTTACAGATACAATTTATTAACTTCAAATATTCACATTATTTTACTATAGGTACTATTACTATATATAGATGTTACATTTGGGAACAATTAACAAAGTACTAAGTAGAGCTATTTAGCTTTTTAGAAAATAGCTAATGTATATTTAATTCTATTCATTACCGAAACCTGTAACTTGTAAGACGGTTACATGGGCTAATTGGCTTCTCTATGTGTGTATATAACATTATTCGGTTTTATGTTTTTATGTGTATGAATCATGCGATATCTTCGCCAATCGTAAACAGTTTTTCTAAAAGCACCATATTTTAAAAAAACCACCCTTAAGGGTGAAATTACTTTTTGAATGGAAATTCGAATAAGTGTTGACTTTGCTACTGTTACAATTCAACTTTCAAGCCAAATGGCAATTAATAAATGTTTAATATATAACTTTGAACCCATAATAATTTTATCATATAATAATGGATATTGATAGTACCGTCCTCGTGACCAATTTCCTAGCCACAGCTAGATATTACAGTGCACAAGTGTACGCCCAAACACAAATGCACTGCATTCTTATCTCACTTAAAGTAAAAGACTAAAACTTTTCGATATTCGCGAGAGAGACCGACGTCTTCTCGTGCGTAATACGGGGATGAAATACTGTCAGCTTCCCACCTGTTATTAGAATTTCTTGACACATAAAACCCAACAATTGGCGATCCCGGGACATAAACCCAGGACTGAATCTGGAGCCATATTATTTTTATTAAACATGTTATAATCTTAGCTTGAATTAGTTATGTAGAAAAAAGATAAAAATTGATTAAAGCTACAAAAAATAAAAATTGATTAAAGCTAAAATCACGCATATGCTTGTATTATTATATTATTAAACATTCAAGCTAACAGAGGAAATCTCACCGTACATGTTGTTTCTAAAAATAATATTTATTAAATAAATTCGATTTGTATATCAAAACAGTGAAGAAAAACTTGTATTGTACCGCTAATCAATAGAACACGTAGTGCCTGGAACATTCTCAGATTCTTCATAGTAAAGTTATTAATAGAAACTTGTTAATAACATGTTTTTATAAAAACTAATTTTATGAACATAAAAATATATACATATCTATACTAATAGTATTATAAAGATACCGAGTTTGTTTGTTTAAACGCGCTAATCTCAGGAACTACTGATCAGATTAGAAAAATTATTTTTGCATTACATAGCCCGTTTACTCAGGAAGGCTATAGGCTATATATTATCCCGGAAAATTCACGGTTCCCGTGGGATAGATTTGTTTTTGTCTAGGGACGAACCCGAAGTGAAGAGAGAGTGAGTTGCTAGTTAAAGATATACGAGTGCTAGTACAAGTGTACTAGATCAGTGCATGTGCACTCATAGAGTTCAAGCCCTTTATTGTATACGCGTTAGAGACGTCATTTTATAGTTACTATCGTACGTATTGCTGACGAGAATAGTAAATTAGCCTGTTACTTCGCAACAAATCTTGATATATTATATATACTATACGATGTTGGTCCGAGGTAAACTCCGAAACTACTTATCCGATCTAAAAAAATTTAAAAAAAAATGTTTGATTTGTTTCAACTTAAAAGATAGGATAGTTTTTATCTCGATTATTTCCTATTTTTATTGCAAAATTTCGACGATTTTCACATGTGTGCCACAGCAACGCGCGGCCGGGTCTGCTAATTTGCTCGTGTGAAAGTTTAGATGGATGTTTGTTACTCAATCACGCCAGAACGGCTGAACGGATCTGGATGAAATTTGGCACAGATAGAGATTTTAGTCTGGAATAGCACATAAGCTACTTTTTATCCCGGAAAAATGTACGGTTCCCGTGGGATAGATTTGTTTCTATTTAATATAACGCATTATTATATAAAGTATTGTATAAAGCAGAGCCTTAAGTCTTAGCCATTGATTAAAAAAAAAAACTCAAGATACACAATTAGCCTCTCAAAAAGAATGTGCGCTTTTTTCAAAATTCTTTTGTTCATTGCTTATAGGATGACAAAATTAAAACACACATAGTTTTGTTAAAGAAGTACTTTATGTGATGTGCGTAGGTTCGAATTTGTGCTTAGACAATTAGAACTTTTGATTTTTGAATTTTATTTTTTGCGTCGCATGTTCACGCCACTTTTTGAAGAGATATTTATTAGGAAAGGTGTATGTATCTATGTTTTTATATGTCAACTAGCAGAATCTGCGGCTTTTCCCGCGCTAAATCTACAATATAAAAACTCTAAAATTCATAAAAACTTTCATCCCCTATTTTACCTCCATATAGGATAAAATTCGAAAAATGGTAAAACACGTAGGAGGTATCAATTTAATTGTATTGAAGAGTATTAATACTAAGTTTCAAGTAATTCTGAGTTGTATTATAACGTGTTTTTGTATGTGAATGAGATCCTATATAATATATATCCTATATAATATATAATAATCTCCCACGGTAAAAAGTAGCCTATGTCACTCTCCAGCCCTCCATCTATCTCCACACAAAAACTCACGCCAATCCGTCACTCTGTTTCGACGAGAAAGATGGACAAGCAAACAAACAAACATGTTTAACTTTTTATAAAGTAACAAGTAACAGTGGTGTTTTCGAGGTATCTCGTATTAATGAAATTATTTATTAATTAAATTATATATTTTACTTACTATTCATATAAATTCTATTCAATCAATGGTTTTCTATTATTTTAGAAAGAGTTATCAGTTACTACTGTAAAGGTATCTACTGTTTTAGTAGTCTTTTGAATATTTTCTCTACAATATGCGAAAAAAAACTATTCTGCTTGTATTTGAAATACAAAACTTTAGGACTTTAAATGGTATGAAAATAAAACAAATTTTAATATTTATTTAATGTTATTAAATACTTTTGTATACATTTTCCACATTAAAAAACTCGAGAAACTACGACGCAAACGGAGAGCAATCTTGGAAATAAAAACAATGATCCAATTATCTTGGTTTGAGGTCAAATTTTTGGAAGATTTTTATTTACTGTTCAATTGTTATCAATCAAATTGATTTTAGCTTTCAATATTTAAAAAAAATGCAGTGCAAGCAAATTAGTATTAACTATTAAGTTAAAAGAAAGTGGAACAAATTGTTGTTGACTACATTTAATATAAAAATCGATATAACCTTTTTGGTGGGATTATTAATGACGGGGAAATATATACCAATCTAATTAATAAGCTTTAGACTTTATCTAAATATTAATATTATTACTAATATTTCATACAATTACATTTAAAGTTTGTAATAATAATTATTAAAACTTGATAAAATAAATTTAATTAGGACGACGCCAAGTTACTATCATTTTAATTGTAGTTAATATAAATTTATAAAATAAATAAATTAAAAAAAAACCAACTTTGATAAACTCTACAATAAATATTAGCGTAAGAATGACGTTACAAATTTCTCATATCAGACACTAATATGAAATATCACTTTAAATTTTCATCAAACTGGAATGTAACTTGGATCATATCGTTGAGAATTAATTTTAAGTTATTTTCATTAACTATATTTCTTATCTACTTTGTTTATTTCCCAATAATAGCTGATCGTATTTCTTCATGTGTCTAGAAGCGAGCTCTACATCGACGTCCGCTAGGAAGTACGCTTCGAAGCTTTGGAGTGGTCGTAGCATTGCGTAGAGACGCTCAGCATATTTCCTGTTACGCAGTTTATTGAAATACCATTATAAATGAGAAGATTTTTATGTATGTGTATGTACGTTTGTGACTTTTACGTCTAAAAAAAACTAACACAGGCTATAAGACTTTCCGGGCGTAGTACATACATACTATTTTTATTTATATAGATTAGCGACTTACATGTGTAAGTAAAAATGAAACACCGAAATGTATATTTCGGTGGATAGATATGTATTAGTGTGGATATTTTTTTTGTGTTTGTTATTGTCAGGACAAGCTTTATATAAAAAAAAATAAGTTTTTTTTACTAAAATAAGTTTTTTTTAAATCTCATGATATGAAAAGTGAGAGAATGAAATAGTTTTTATCCCGGAAATCATACTTTAACGGGGTGAGAATGGGAAAAAAGTTTGTGTGGGGAAGCAATTTAGGGACGAACCCGAGCGAAGCGAGGGTGAATCGCTAGTTTAATATAACTCTGAAACCGTCATTGATAGTCTTTTGAATTTGAACTTGAAAGAAGTATTTTTTCCTTACAAGCACATTTTTCCTTAAATAATAAAACCAGATAGCCGTGGAATGATGCAATTAATACGTAAACAGAAACTTAAGAAATGTTATTTTGACTTGTTTTTATTATAAAAAATGTTTTATTTATAAACTAGATAAAATGTATTATAATTTATTTATGTCATAATAAGTATGAATAGTTACTTATAGGGCTTAATGTCAAAATAATGGAAGAATATTTATCCGAATCCAAAGTACTGCCTGCAACGTAGCAAGTCGACTGATTTCTTAAAATTGAACAACATATAATAATGGACGTAGTTATGCAAAATAGATCCAACCACAATAACTTACTCTTCTTCTTCTTTTGAGAAAATAGGACTTTTAGTAAAATTGGTATATCAAAAATACCGTAAAAAGACATTTTTTTTTTAAATTCCTCTTAAATATTTTATATTTTGCCTACTTTCTGTATATAAGTTTATATGTAGGTGCCATTTATGATAGTAATTGAAACAATTGTTTTCGTAGGCTGGATCCATTTTGCATAACTTCATACAATTAATTATCTGTGTACATTGTGGAGGTTGTGCAAGAAATTCATTCTTACGGCAAAGGTTACTTCAATCGATACATTAGTTATTGATTAATCGAAGTGACTAATCGCCCGATCTGAAGCCGAATAGACCCGTAGGTCTACGGGAAACTTTCCCGTAGCTGACCCGTGGATAGATTAAATTTCGTTCAAGTTTCAAGTTGTTGCTTCAAGCTGCAAGTGCAAGTTCAGATCCACGGGAAAACTTCCCGTACTACTAAGAATTTTTACATTTACCTATATATAATTTATTTTAAACAAAACTATCTTTTAGGATTTTTTTGCGAATTTATTTGATTTTTGGTTTCCAACACTTTTATTATTTATATATAATTATCATTATTTATATATATACGATTTTCATGGATTTACTTTGGTTTTTGCGAACCAAATCTAAAAAGATAGTGTTATTTAAATTGTCAAATATTCGCGTAAATCTAAGAAAGTATTACATGTAAATAAGTTTTTGAAAACAAATTATCTTTGGACAATATCGCCTCATTGGAAATATTAATGTGTTAGATTAGATATTAACCTAGTTTCTGTGTTTTTGTCTTGTAACAGTTCTGCGAGAGAGCGTAAGGCGTGTTTTCTTGCCGCAACAGCGGTGGGCGGGCGCGCGCGGAGTATCTGCCGCCCGCCCTCCGCTAACGCACAACACACTACAAGTAATCGGGCAGAAGCGCTACGTACTAGAGCATTTTTGTGCCTAAAATAAATAGGGAGCATGATGAATATTAAATTAGTAACTAAAACCGCATATTTGATAGCAATTTATATATTGAAAATAAATGTTTTTAGTGGTTAACCTTTTGATCAATTGAAAAAGTGAAAAAAAACAAATAATTATGAATTTTATATTCAATAAAAAAATTACAAATATTTTTGTAATAATAATATACAATCTAATTTACAAAATAAATAAATAATTTATCAGCTTTAAAAAAGGTTTGTTGGAAAAAGTGTGATATAATGTGAGCAACAACAATATAATGAAGACTTTCGAGAGGGACTGGTGTCTATACTTTACATATACACATTTATAAGATACCTTTATTATATGTTTATGGATTTAAAAAATACAATATACTATGCATAGTTTGATCCGATGGGATATTAATAAAAAGAACAGTGAAATCCCACTCCTGTTTGATTTGCATTAAAAAATTTAAGATTTACAAAATCTAAAAAAAATATATAAAAATGTAAAATACTAACCCTACGCCATAAATGCATATGGCAGTAACCGCGTGGGTAATGTCGACTTTACACACGATTTCGTCGAGCGCGACGTTGGCCGCGCGCCGCACTGGCCGGTTATAACTGCCCGTCTTCGTTAATAAACTGGATATACCTTCATAGAAATCCTATTAGAGGAAGAGCCCGTGAGCGCCAGACCTTCGTCATTTTATAAAGACTGAAAGTTTGTCAGCGCATGCTCCCAACACAGATAAGAACGATGGACCATTATGAAGTTTAGGCTATGGTGGCTTTGGCAGGTACACGGTACTAAAGGTGTGTTCGATACCGATCTAAATTCGTCAAATAATAAAGTGTGATTTTTTGGTATTACCTTCAGAATATTATTAAAAATCACGTCATTCTATGCCAGACACTTAACATCGTGGCAAACCCTTGCCAGACACCCTTTTCATGAAAACATAATTCTACTTACGTTATAGTATAAAAGCTGATTTTCAACCGACTTCAAAAAGGAAGAGGTTCTCAATTCGACTGTATGTTTTTTTTTATGTTTGTTACCTTAGAACTCCGTCATTTATTAACCGATTTGGACAATTTTTGTTTTGTTTGAAAGGGTATACTTCCAGATTGGTCCCATTTAAATTTAAAAAAAAATACCACCCCTAAGGGTGGAAAAACAACTAATGATGAATTTAACCTACTTCTAATTGTCATATTGACTTGAAACTTTGCAAGTATTTCTATTTCCGTTGATAGTACAGTGGTTCGGTGTTGTTGACCTGATCTGATGGCAAGGCCAGAAGGTGGATAGGTGGAACTCTTCAACGGCTAATAGTAGATACTTTGAGTTTGAGCTTATTTTGTTTGATTTGACAAGCCTAACACGTTAGAATCCTTACTATGCTACTACTGTCTACACTAAAAAGGGAAAAATAAAAACTTTTTAACAAAAAAATAAAAACCGACTACAAACAAAAGCACTAAAAAGTAAAAAATAACTGATTGGTAGTTTTCATTTACTATACATACCTAATCAAATATTTTCGAAGTCGGTGTGCTTTGGCTAAGTAATTAAAGCTTACCTATTAAATACATACCTAATCAAATATTTTCGAAATCGGTGCCAGCCCATACAAAACAAAGCACGCCGACTTCGAAAATATTTGATTAGGTATGTATAGTAAATGAAAACTACCAATCAGTTATTTTTTACTTTTTAGTGCTTTTGTTTGAAGTCGGTTTTTATTTTTTTGTTAAAAAGTTTTTATTATATATAATACTTGGGTAATAATTAGATGATTTATAAGACTGCTAGCATAGCATTTATTACACACCATGAAAAATGTTCCAAACAAGTTGGGACCATTTCTAAGAAAATGTTGCAAATGGTCACCAAATTTGAAGCGCTAAGAATTGGCTTTATTTTTGATGGTGTGTAATAAATGCTATGCTAGCAGTCTTATAAATCATCTAATTATTACCCAAGTATTATATATAAAAATCAGCTTTTATACTATAAGGTAAGTAGAATTATAATTTCATGAAAAGGGTGTCTGGCAAGGGTTTGCCACGATGTTAAGTGTCTGGCATTGAATGACGTGATTTTTAATAATATTCTGAAGGTAATACCAAAAAATCACACTTTATTATTTGACGAATTTAGATCGGTATTTTACACACCTCTAGTACCGTGTACCTGCCAAAGCCACCATAGCCTGAACTTCATAATGGTCCATCGTTCTTATCTGTGTTGGGAGCATGCGCTGACAAACTTTCAGATTTTATAAAATGACGAAGGTCTGGCGTTCACAGGCTCTTAGGCCATATAGTATGTCAATATTTGTTAAATTTACTGTTAAAAATATTTTTCTATAACGGTAAAGATACGTAGTAATAGTAAACACCCTAATTCTCGCCACTGGTCAATTGGGCCACCTGTTTTATTCCTATTTTACCACGCTAGCCAAATTCGGGTTGGTGATTATGAGACGTCATTTGAAAACTAAATGGATTACCTAACGGCTAACTTCTAAAGCATTTATACGAAACCTTCTTTTTACCGAATCACATATAAAAATCTTACAAGAGAAATAAGTAATTTAAAGTTTAAATCATAATGTTCATTCATTCAGTTTCCAAAGCGAACGTGTTACCAATGGCTAGTGCGAAAGATAGGCATATTTTTGTTGCAATTATAATATAAATGCTTACTTTATTTGAAAAACTGATAAATAAGGTTTTATAAATAACATCAATAATATGGAGAATATGTAAGGTTCATTAGACCTATAATAACATACCATAATATTTTTCTGAATAACTTCTGAATGAATTTTTTTAAGTTTCAGAGTAACAATTTTATCTTATGCACAACTTACTGGCTTCTTAGTGTAGTTGGTATTTTTAAGTATTTCGGCAAGCGTGTTGCAGGCGGAACGGGCGACTTGTGTCCGCGGAGACTCGATGTGGCCGGTCACCTGTATCCTACTACTATATAAATGTGAAATTACAGAAATATGGTCTAAAATTTAATATATGAACAATGAGCATGTTGTTATTGATTACAGGAACCCTTAAGCATGAGAATTTGATGTAATTTTGAATATTTTTTTAAATTATAAAAACTAGGTCTTAAGGTCCTCCCCCTCAACGTGCGTTCATCTTGTCATGGTGGGGGGAGTGGGGGAGGGGGGGGGCTCTCAGTAGTGCCCGGCAACCCAGCCGGGCGCGAAGCAAACAAAAGCACAGGGAGGTGACCCACTTCGGTGGGCGGTGTACCATGCGGGTTACTCCTGGTACTTCTCTGATAGCAGAGTGGACCTTGGAGCAACCCTATGGTTATCGTGTTGAGTCCCAATAACCACCTGTATGTCTACAGGTGGTATACGTATATGCATTTCCCAACATAAAAAAAGATTTTAAGGTCCTGGTGAATGAATGATGCAATAATAATAATAACATACTCTTCGTAACAAGTCCGCGATACGACTTTCTGAAATTGTCGTCCAGAATTTTTCTAAAGCTTTCGGCAAGTCCTCTAAGGTTTCTGTTACTTCCATCCTAAAATAAAACCCAATGAATAGTGAAAAATGTATATAAGGATAACTTTAATGAGTGTAAAAACACTCGAATTTGTCATATTAATGAGAAATATTCAATATTATATTTTTGTTACGGTATATGAAATTACATAACGTAGCTCGCCATTTAGTACCAAAATGTGTATTAATATTACTAAAATGTGTATAATAATCATTTGACAACCATAAAGTTCCCTACAAATACAATATAAATATACTTGTAGCCTGTAGGGGTAGCTTAAGCTATAGTGAAATTTAAGTAGCGACCTGGCTACTTATTTAAATATATTATATTATTAATATGTTTAGCATAAGCACAGATCATATAATACTATACTGCATAAGTAATAAGTTAAATTGAACTATTTGTTTTGCTGAACATATCTAGAGACACTTAGTCAGTAATACAGGTAGATATTCGTTATTTTCAAATCAGTCTATAGTTTTACGTACGCATAACTGTGTAATGTAATAGAAAAGAGATAAAAAAGTGTTTTTTTTGCTCTGCTGCTGATCTTAAGCAAATCAGCAAAAATTAATGTACATATACATAGGTACACCCATGTACATGTTCATTCGTGTTAGTTTGTGTTATGTATCACACTACTTTTTATTCTGGCACTTTAAAATGGTTCATTATATTAGTCTTTTAGAAAAAGTAAGTAATGAAGGCTCATAAAGGCGATACCACACAGTAAGTACCTATGCTTAAATGATAATGTTGCGCCACGATAGTTGTAAAACGTATCGGGGCGCTGTGTGTGGCAGATCACCGATGAGTTCACGTACGTGCCGTCCGTTGACTAAACCAGTTTTTTCCGGTCGACATTTGACAATATCAGAGCGAGCGCATCCGGCACGGTAATATTACATACAGTATTCATACAAACGGTCGGAAATCGAGTTGTACCTACGCGCGTCACGTTCGGTATACACTCGGTAGACAACCGTGCGGGGCTGCCACATCGTATAATTGGATACGAAAATTGTATAAGGTGGTTATGTTATGTAACTTTTATAATTTGATACAAGAATAAACATTTAATTCCTCCAGTAACTTCGCTAATGTCAAACAAAAAAGTATCGAGACATCGAGTGTTTTAAAAATAAAAATTAATTCATTAAATTAAAAATAAAAATTAAAGTATTTTTAATTAAACTTTTTATCCGAATGCGGATTCTTTATACTATTAAATTTAACAATAAAGCTTTTCCTACGTCTCAGTCGAGGCGCAAATATTTTTAAATCTCAAATTTATAGCAGCCCTGTCGCGTGGGTACGTGCCGCTCGGCTGTAGGTAATTATTTCAAGGACAGGCTCGAGTTGCAATACTGTATGCATTTAAATACCGTGCATCCGGCTTCACGCTCTATTGAAAACGTACACACTATACACCACCGCCAGCATTGTTACGTATCGTTTCACTGATGAAGCTTTAATCGATTCATCACCGGTACTAAAGGGTATAGAAAGGCAGATACTATCGACATAGGTACATTATTATGTAAATATATATGATATTTGTACATATCTATTTTTATTACATATAAAGTGTAAGATAACCAGTAACCATATTACCATGATGAGGATCGTAGTTTTCGTAATAATTCACAGCACAACGCGTCACAGCCTCTTTCGGTAGCGTCACTTATCCTGCTTTCTTCAGGAGAGGATATACTTGTAGGTGAAACGCTTCTGCTTCCGTACTTAGACCTAAGTCATGAGTTTTGGTAAAATGAAGTTATATCGTACTCAAAATAGCTATAGCATGAACAAATATGAGTTATGGATATATAGGTTTAATACTTAAGGGGAAGTCCTTGTTTCTTTTATACTATAATGTTTATTTCTTAAATATAGCAACCGTTTTTAAAAATATTATGTACAGAATATAATAATTATCTGTAAAGTTACCTAGATCTTTTAGTATTCAATTTAAGCTCCTTTATTTTCCCATTAATACTAATCACGTCGAAAGATTCATTACATGACGCTTGTCCGTTTGGAGTAACAATATTAGATCTATTCGTGGCGACAGCATTGCAAAAATATCCTTCTAAGTGGATTGGAGGTAGTCTGAGAGGATCTTTAGAAGATTTGATGGAAACTGTAAATTAGTAGATTGATAGTGTACTTGTTTATTACAAGAGCTTGATCATTAGTCAATTTCTATTAATTTAACGACGTAACATCAGAGCTTCGGACTATCTATTACCAGTACATATTTCTATGACGTATAAGGTAATAAATAGTTCATACAGCAATGAAAATGATTATATTAGCTATTTTAGTAGATACGCTTTGTATAAAATTGCTTACCGCTTTTTCCAGTTTTGAGTGGGCTTTCACCTGATGCAAGTTCTTTGTCACAAATCTCCCATCGATCATAAGATTTGTCATCCTGTTTTTCATTCGGGTTAAGATGAGCTTTTTGATTTTGTAAGGAAAATATAAAATTTAAATGTGGATTGTGGGGAAACGATTGATTAATAATAGGCGGTAATTTTAATTTATTGTCTTCTATATCATTTTCAAAGTTTGAAAACATTTTTATTCGTACACCATTATTGATGAATAGTGTTTCTTCGTCCATATTTTGTGTCAATGTTTGTTCGCTGGGAGATATAACAATGCTGTCTTTTTTCTGTGCGGTCTCTTCAGTAAGTGGTGTTAGAATACCAAAATTCCGTACGATCGGTTCTGACGATAAAATTGGTGAAAGTAATAAAGGACTTTTAGACAATTTATTATAAAGCTCTTCAACATCATTGTCTATAGAATTTGGCACTTCACTAGTGTCGCTATCGTTCGCTTTAGATTCATTGTTATTTTGATAGATATTTTCTAATGAGTCATCTTCGATATCTGAATTAAATTCAGTACTGTTATATTCTATATCTTTTTGATTACATAAAAGATTGTCCTTCGAATCATCTTCGATAAGATGAATTAATTCTTCATCGGAACTGTGTCTACAATGTGAATGATCCTCGCATGCCTTTTCAGAATCAAGACACTCAGAAGATCCATCTTGTAATGATTGACTGTTATTAAGTGTTGTATTTTGAGTGATGTTACACATCTCTTGATCAGAAAGTTTCATTTGTTTATTAAATTTACATTTTGTATCTACAACTTGTATAGTATAATGAACCGTTTTATTTTCCGTGAATGAAATTATGGAAGTTTGCGTCTCCAAATTGTCTGTATGTTTGTTCATTTGTAAATCGGTTTGTGCCAATTCCATGATGGTTTTACTAGTTTGAGTAAATATTTCCACGTTGCATTTATGTAGGCTCTTGGACGCTGACCAGTCTATCGTATTAGCAGGACAATTCTTCGAATCTTCTTCAAGTATATTAGTTATGTTCATTTTCACGTCATCAAGTGTATTAGTGGTTTTCATTAAATTTATGGTACTTTCACTTTTATGTAACTGAAATGTTTTGTCGCCATCATCACTGTCGCAGGCAATAATATATGTGTCTTTGCCAGATGAGTTGTTCTTGTCAGAGCTACTATCAGTGAAATCTAAGGAATACTCGGCTAATGTGGTCATACTTTTTTGGGAATCTGTATACTTAACATCGCCTACAATGTCCTCAACCTCTTCATCCTGTGAAATAGAGGATTAAAGGAAAAGCTTGCGTTTTAATAGTGTTGAGTTATGAGAAAAAAAGTAATTTGTTTTAAGAAATTAATGCTACTTACCATATTATATAATTTAGAACAAAAACTATATAAAATCACAACATGTAGACGCAGTGTAGCCACGCGACCGCGTATTCGAATATTTATTATAATTAACTGAAATTCTGACGGGCCATGACACTTTGAACAAGGAAACTGTCAAAGCTTTTAGTTTTATTTAACATCATATATTTACAATGAGTTGTTAGTTGATGAAATAATTAAAACCTCTAAAGAAACAGTTGTGATTAAGAGTTTGAAGGCTAGAAAGAGACAGAAATTGCAGTAGTGTCTTAGTTGGTTTATCCCTTTGGTTAAAATCAATAAAAACTTTTCCCTCTCTAAACATCCTAGCTCACAACTTTTGTCGTGGTAGACAGTACCTATGAATGATATAGCAACATAAGTTATTCTATCCACAACGCCTTAACGGTAACATGCCGCGATTAAGGGTAACATATTAGATATAGTATTCACTTTTTTTTGAAACATAAATACTATGTTTCATTTATACTTTTTCCTAGAAGACATTATAATAATATGAATTAATACTATCGCATATTGGAAAAATCTTTACATAATATTATTTAATAATAGTATCAAGGTAAAAAAAATATTAAAATGATGAAATATATATTCAGGTCTAATAAAATCACATCTAAGACTACAGCATCAGTGTAGAACATTATCACAACAAGAGATACCCATTTGTTATATATCAACACACACCAAACCATTACGATAAATATTACATAGAAACATTTGAATGTCATGACAAGGACCGGATGACATACGATACGATATATGATTTTTATAACTTATAATAAAACAAGTATATTATGCTAAAATTAAGTAAATCCAAATTCAAGCATTTGGCATATATGGACGTAATTTTTATAATAAATCAGTCGATTATCAACAACTTTTTTTAATAATACTTTTATTTATGTCATAAATAATAAATTTTGTTGTGAATCGTTTTAAATAAGTAATTAATTATAATAGTCGAAATTTTGCCTTTTGGATTTACCATTCATTGAAGTAACACATATTAATTGGACCCACTTATGCAAAAAACAGCCATGTGCGTAAAAGTACCAACAGAGCCATAAGAATTTTTTATAAAAAATAAACAATACTTATATAAATATTGTTCAAATTTAAAATAACTAGAAAAACAAAACATAACCCAAGTGCAACTATCGATAGAAAAATGCTTATAACTCTGTTGGTACTTTTACGCACATGGCTGTTTTTTGCATAACTGGGTCCAATTATTAGGTATATAGGTATATATTTTACATAGATTGTGCATTATATTACAAACCTGTGAACCCGACAGTGTAAAATGGCCGAACCATTTTAACGTAACTAAGCACGTCGAGCCACCGGTCCATGCACTCTCCCTCTTGAAAAACACGAATAGGATCCCATCAAAAGCGACAAAAGCCACATAGAAACCAATAAATATTTATTGGTTTATTCTTTTCTGGATCCTATTGGTGGTTTAAATAGGGCTCCGCCCGACCCATTTTTAACGTTTTTACACTTATAAAGAGTATACATTTGTTTGGACAACTTTTGTTCATAGACAAGTAAATTAAATTTTACAACCTGTCCACACAAGGTAGACGCGAAACAATTGAAAATTAAGCATGACATTCAAATGTAAAATTGGCTGTATAAAGTCAACATTATGCCAATATAAGATCTTATTGTCTTAAACATATACGACGATGGCTTAAATAAGTAATTTACCCCGATAAAGTGACAATAGCTCTTTTTAATAGTCATTCATATTTGTATGCAAATGTCAACACGTTATTTTTAATTTTAAACTGTTTTTAATAGCTTGTATACACCATAGGTAGCACAGTGTTTCGACTTTACTTTGGTTTACTGCATTGCTTTATTTCTTCTTTTTTGCAAGTTTGTCTATGATTAAATAATTTCTTAACCGATTTCGGTTTTATCTTCACTAAGGTTAGCCAAATGTCGACACCACCTATGAAATGACAGAAAAACTGAGACTAACTATTTGTCAGCCGTACATGCTACCGGTAGACAAACGAAGCAGTCAATTTAAATAAAATATAAAACATTTCAAAAAAAAAATAAGCCAAGTGCGAGACGGATCGCACACACCGAAGGCCACACTATATATTTACGTTATACCTTTATGTATATAACGTTATGGTTTTGCTACCATTTTTTTCAATGTGGCGGCGCGAACGGCGGTCACTCAAGATCGCAAATTCGGAATATAGTTAGGCCACCAAACTAAGGCTCTGTCAAATTAGAGCTCTCCTTAAACTTTTGTAGCGAAAGTTCCATTTTATGTCTTCTATGTCTGGACTATTTAGGGTTTGCACAAGTTTGATATTCGTATATTCCTTGTCTCCTTATTGTTTTGCTCTTGGCTTTTATATTATTTAATATACAAACGATCATAATAACACATCTGTAAAAAACTGTACCAACAACTTTTTACGGTTCAATATCGATTGTAAGCTCTTAAGAGGTTGGAAAGATAAACGGACGATTCCAACCTTAATTTTCAGTTACGGAACCCATTTACCCTTAGAAAAAATGTTTTCTATTCCTTTATATAACAAAACAGTATTATTGTGACATGTATGCATATTTGTGCTCTTTATGTATGAACACATTGTTTAGATTTGAGAAATTGTCACTTTATTCGTAGAAAACACATGAGATGTTTTTATTATTAAACACAACTTAACAGCGAAGTCTTAATTTATGAACGAACAACATTAAATAGTATATATAATGGTATATAAAATACACGATACAAGGACATTTGTCTTAAAATTATTGATAATATGGAGTTTAGATTTAAAATAGTATTAAATATTACAAAATTATTAACAAATAATTTTACCTTTAACTGTTCAAAGAAACATTTTGATGTCTATCTAAAATGAAGGGTAAAACTTTCTTTTTACTTTTTATCGTACAATTACAATAATTTAAGAAGTTGGCAACGTTAAAAAATGTTGCTAGTTTTACATACACAAGATATGCATAAACATATTATATTAAAAAATAAAAGTAACACTCAATTTAAAAATTGTATGTATCTAATGTTAATAATTTTTCGTTTGACGCAAAATCAGTCATAGGAATTTTGAAATACCTTTCAAATATTTAATTCACGAGTAACTATCCTAATTATGTATGTTTTAAACAAGTGATAAATCCGTACATTCTTACAAGTAAGAGCCAATCCCTATTAAAAATAAAAAGGATGAATTAAATATTTTTTATAATGTTGCCATTTTTCATCTGACATTTTACAGCAAAAGATTCCACAAACATCTAAAAATAAATAAACTTATTACATCATAACGCTATTTTATATGAGAAATAAAGACTTTGCAAATGTATGAAGAACCTTTTTAACAAACTTTTAACGCATTTTTTTAATAACTGAAAGTTTTGTAAATAATAAAGAAATACGGCAATAAATTCAATGATTTTCCCGTACTTCAAAGTACAAAACCTAATATGCTATTTCATGTACTTTCCTTTATTATAAATTTACTTTTTTATATTACGATATTATTAGTCATACCATCTGTCAAAGTTACATATAAGTCACGTGATCACTGTTTGCTGTGACATAAGTGTTCAATGCAATTTTAGTTTATTTGCAATAGTTCTCAATTTTTTTCAAAGCACTTCCACCTTTAATTTATTAACATGATAACGCTCATCTACAGATCAATTAAAACTTTGTTTGATTGATAACGATATAACATTTCTTTCAATTCAAATTTTTGTTCTGTGGCTTACATTTTACTATTTGGTACAGTTTACTTCTTCAATGTTGTATGATATTTTTTTCTGTTGTGGCTTGGAATTGCGTTAATATACATAAAAACTCCTCTACACGATGGGCCATAGTTGGACACGATGCACACGAGTGCGACGTCCAATTTATAAATTTAATTTCGTAATATATCAAGATGAACGTGGAAGCTATGGCCGCTGTGGCAACACATTTATTTAGCGCGAACAAACACTGAGTAGTGGGCCACGTGTAGATGATTGGGCCACCTTCATCACTGGCCCACTATCCTTTGATGTGCAGCAGAAAAACCGATACCAACGCCATCACGAGACCATCGTTCGCGCCATATGCCATTAGTTGCAACTACGCCCTCTACACAATGGTTAATCATAGTGGGCCACCGCGATGGTCCATCATGTAGAGGAACAGTTATACATTCTACTAATGTCTCATTGTGAAGAAGAAACATCATAACGTATTGCCATGTAATTTTGACGGTTAATATTGCCATATTTTATATATTTTTTATTTTACATACTTAACAGTTTATACCAAAAGTTTTGTATCCGTTTATTTATTTGAGATTATTGAATTTTGATATGTATTTATTATTTAGTTATTAATATATTATTTTATATTAAATTATACTTTCATTTTTATATGTAGGTTATTTTGTTAATGATAATAATAAATATTTTCAAAATCGATTTTTTTCATAAAATTAATATTTTTTAAAATATTCACCGAATAGAACCAAAATTTTTATTTAGTTAAGTTCTTTTAACAATTAAATCATTTATAGATAAATTTTAAAGCAGTATTATAGAAGACATACACACATTGAACACCAACACTTTATATTTTATTATTAAAATATATATATATATATATATATATATATATATATATATATATATATATATATATATATATATAAACATCCAATATATTACGAAACAATAAAGATATATTTAGACATCTAGGTCACATTTTTAAACTCTAATCCCACAACATCAATTTAACCATTAGAATAAATTAAATATTATTAATAAACTAAACCATAACCAAAGCGACGATTTAATTATACATCGTATAATATAAAAACTTATTCAATACTTTAAACACCGTAAATACATTACATCTATCAAAAACCACGCCACCAATATTCTTATACGTGTCCAATGTCCACGCCTTTACGTGCATTAATTTTAAAATATGTGTAAAATCAATACATATAGATATCTTAAATTTGCAACATTACAATATAATTTAGCACACAGAATAATAAACTCAAAGTTATTAGCTATCAATATTTTACTAGGCTAAATGTATTATTCATTTGGGTCGGCCATTTTGAATTAATAATGATTTTATACTTAGCTCTTCGAACAAATATCTATAATAACGTTAAAGTTAGAAAAAGTAAACGGATTTTTTCTTGAATGACATTTGATTAAATGAAGGAATTTTATTATTAATCTGTGGTACTTATGATTAAGACAATGAGTAAGAAAGTGGTCCAACTAGTACTGAATATAGAGTTAGATTAATAAATAAACTACATACATCCTAAGTATCTGTAATAAGGCTGTTAATTTTCATAATATTTCATCTCTAACCAATCGTCATGAAAGGCACAATGACTGTTTTTTACATAGTGATATAGGTATAGCCTTCTTCATATGCCTTCTATGTTCAAAGTAATGGCGTAACCATACTGAAGATTTAGTATGAAAAGTATTGTCACACTTTATAGCTCTTTTTATGTTATAGTAAAGAATAATGTATGAATTACCAATTTAAATTATTATATACGTTAAGAGCCTAAATAGACTAGGCAACCACCATCCAGACTGGTTCACAGTCCAACTAGTCATGGTCGTGGTCATCTATGCGGTAAGTTAGGGTTAATAAATAATATGAAATTTTTTGAAAATCTAACAAAATATATGGACTTTTGTACAAAAGAAATGAAGTTGTTATTATATGTTCATAGTAATTACTTAAGCTTCATAGGCTCAGATTTTATTCTGTGAATAATTTAATTTTTGAGGTAGAGTTGGTAGCATTGATAAGTCAATTGATATGATAATATAAAAGCTAAAATTATAATATTTAATACAACAACATCAAAACCATACAACACCAATTAAATTTCTCATTTGAAAGCTAATTACTAAACAATTATTACGACAAAATTTAACCGATAATAAAATTTATTCGAGAGACCTAATAGACAAAATATTCGTACAATATAATATTGGAAAAAAATCACCTCAATTTCAAAATTGTCACCAAAAAGTTACACCTTGGTCAAACTTTAATTTAAACAAAAAAACATTTACCCGTCACACAGTGGGTATATAAACGTGTGGTCCCGAATGCCGCGTCTAGTCGGTGAGGTAGAGCCGCGCTAGACGGGCGCGCGACCCTCAGCGAGGCGCCACGCCCGTCATGTGCTCCGAGTGGAGGCGCACTATCTCTGCCACTATCATACACTCTATATCCACGCCTGGAAACCAGTAGGTTGGGTCATTTTTTAATAATGGAAGACGTCATTGTAACTTTTGACGGTGGTGGCGCCACAGACAAACAATTTACAATAAAATGATACGGACTTCGTAAGCTATACATATTATATGATGTATAATAGCGACTCACACTCGCTCGGGTTCGTCCCTACTTATATTTTAACGTTTAGTATAGATTTCTAAGAGACGAGATATTTTCCCTGAGTAAAAATGATCCTATATGTTGACCCGGATAACCCAGCTGTCATCATACCAAATTTCATCAAAATCTGTCCAGTGATGTTTTCGCTATTCGGTCACAGACAGACAGACCAAACTTCTAAGAACTATAGATTCGTCCAAACAGGTTTTAACTGTCTAATAAAGGAACATTGAAATGCGTGCAGAATTTTTCGTTTGGACTAAATAGACACAGACACGGGCAAGTTGAAGACAGTATGCATCTAGATTATTAAATGTGGAGAGTTTTTTCTTGGTACAGCGCTATCTTTGATTACGTACTAAAGTACCTACATAAGTAGTATGATAGAAAGTTGAAGGAATTTCTTTTTACTAGCATTTTTGACGTAATAGTAAAATGTAATAAAATAGTGAATATCATACCTGCATGCACTTCTTCTCTAGTGAGAACTATTTCTTGGTTCGCTTCAGGAGTCACCAGAATAACCCTTTGATGACGTGTTTGCAACAAATTCGCTACTACCATCTGTAAATTTATTTGTTATTTTTTTAAATGAATAATAATCATATGAGAAATGATTGCAGTACTATTCATGGAAACAAGGTTATACTTCAAACTAAAAAATTATATAGACGGAGTCCGCCAAAATCAAAACATCAAAGTCGAAAATTAAAAAAAACCCCGACATGTAATTCGAAATTTTGTGGTGGCGACCATCTTACATTTGAAATTTATCATAGTGTATAGTATTCTACTAGTTAAGCCCTTTTATTTGATACCCATATTGAGAGAGTTGTGAAAAATATGTAAACCGCCATTTTGTGGCGGCAGCCACCTTGGACCGATTTTCATACAACATAGCTAAGAACACTCCCGACTAATTCACCTTTCAAACAAAAAAAACATAATCAAAATCGGTTCATCCGTTCGGGAGCTACGATTCCACAGACTGACACACACACAGACTTGTCAAACTTATAACACCCCGTCATTTTTGTGTTGGGGGTTAAAAACAGTAGCCTGATTTGCTGTTTATGCTTCCATTCTTGATTTTGCTACGTTTACTTTCTTTAAAGAATTAGGTAAATTTCAGTATACAAATTGTGATTTGTAAACTATTTTGAAACATTTTTTTGGCTTCATGTTTAGTTCTATGACACTCTGTATATATTATTCCTTAGTTTGATACTTTTAATATGCTTAATATGTTACCTTATGTTTATATTTTTCTAACGCAGCACGAGCTTTGGGAATGAGCAGATTCTCATCAGTCTCTAACTTGAAGGAGACCACGTAGGCTTCCGGCACCCAGAGGTTGACCAGTGGAGCCAACATTTTTGGCACTAAGTATAATTGTATTACTGGAGGTCCACTTGCTGACTGCATTTTGTGGGTAGGCTGAAATAATTAATCATAAAGAGCTCAACTCATGCCTATGATATTAGATAGGAAAAACGATCACAATGTAAAAATATACATTATGTTTTGATCTAAATGGAAATCCCTCGAAATGCAAGGGTTGTGAAAAATATCAGTTTTTATGGTGAACGGTTTCGAAGTTCCATTTCGTGCCAAGTTATAGTGCCATCGACGTGTTCACCTTGTCGTGGTGGAGGAGCTAATCTGATCCGGCAATCCAGCCGGGCGTGGAACCAAGTGACCCACTGAGAGGTGGCCCACTTCGGAGGGCGGTATACCATTCGGGTAACTCCTAGTACTTCTCTGAGAGCAGAGTGGACCGTGGAAGCAATCCCTTGATTGTATGGTCCGTTTCGGCTGGCAGCCGTCGGGGCGTCGTGATTGAGGGCGTAAGCGATCTTGCGACATCCCATTAAGACCCAACATAACCTACCCCAGGTTTTAATGGTGAGTCCCACATAACCACCTGTACCACAAATGTATTTCCCTAAATTAAAAAAGTTATATAACTTACTCAATCATATATATTAAAAAAGTGATATAACAATAGGGATTGAAAAATATACAAAACATACTTACAACTCTATCTTTCGGTACATAGAAGTCCGACACGGCCGCTGCCAGGTACAGCAATGCCCTAGCGCCGGTGTGGGCCAAACATTCACAAGCCGCCCTCAACAACCATAGATAGTCCGACACACTAGTGAATGATACGTGAAGTAAGGCTCCGGCCGCATGTGCGGCTTGGTAGCGGGCGAGTACTGGCGCGAGTGCGAATACGCTGTCTGGTTTTACTGTAATTGTACGTGTACATTTTAGTTTATATATCTTCTATATAAATAAAATTGAATATTTGTATGTTTATCCTCTATGCGTCCCTAAACCATTGATCTGATTGTAATGAAACTCTGGTGGGTTACTTTGTGTACCTTTGTGAAGGTTCCTGGCGCAAAAAAAGAAGTTTTTTTGGACGTTTGTATTTAGTGTGTTCCTAAACCATTTAAGCTTAGGGACGCACCCAAGCCAAGCGTGCTTCCATCGGGTGTATCCCTAGGCCTAATAGTAAAATACTAAATGTTATTCAATCCATCCAGCCGTTTCAGCGTGAAGGATTGATAAATATACAAACATACAAACTTTAGCATATATAGTTGGTAGTCCAATGAGTCAGAGTATTCTTAATCATGACTTTTATCCTAATGACGTCAAATTCTACTACATCTCATTGGTATCTTATGAAAAAATGATTAATCAAATACTCTACTAGTGGATTTAAGTTCGATTGCGCCCTAGGCCCAAGTCGATATAACGTAACGGTCGATAGTAACAGTATATATAAGTAGATTAATTATTTTAACAAAGAAATTCTACCCTTGAAATGGTACTGTCTTTAAATTGTAAGAGCGCAAGAAAATAAACTTTATAATTTGGTCTTACAGTTTACAGAAAACCCAGTTGATTTTTAAATTTAGTCGTTTTAAAAATTTTGGCACCTCTCAAAATTAGCCGCCCTAGGCCCGGGCCTCACGGGACTAAGCCTAAATCCGCTACTGCAAATACACAAAGGATTGTGTTTAGTTTTATTTAGCTTCCGTAAATAAAGTTATAGGTACATATATCTATTGATAGTTATAATGATGATAAGTTATAATCGATTAATAATAAAATAAAATATAACGATATTTATAAATAAAATAATCTCCTTTAGATCGAACAATGTGTTTATATGTTACTGAAAACAAGTTAATATGATAATACTTAATCAATATCGCTTCGTTTCTTTATTTAGCAAGACTCCGCCCTAGAACGTATACGAGTATAACTATAAAGATAACAACCTATTCAAGGTTCATAGTGTTCTTTAACGGTCTTGGCTGATTAATTTATTTCTTTTGGAAAAAATGCTACTCACAAAAATTAGAATAACGCTTTTGAGTTTTTAGAAATGGTTATTGATTGCATATTTTAAATAAAAATGTGAATTATATATATTACTAGCAATGCCCGCGGCTCCGCCCGCGTACGAATGACCAAAAACCAAATTCTTAGGTTTTACATATTAGTATACTCTTACATTGCAGTTTTTGTATTTTTTTTTCAGAAATGAGACATTTTCCCGCGGTAAAAAGTATCCTATATGTTGACCCGGGTAACCAGCTATCATCATACCAAATTTCATCAAAATCCCTCCAGTGGTTTTTCTGTGATGCGGTAACAAACAGACACACAGACAAAAATTCTAAAAACTATAGATTCGGCTTCTGTATCGATAATAATGTTTATTTCAATAAGGTTTTCCAAAAAATAATTTAATGTACAGCTTAGTTACAATTTTATTATATTGTATAGATATACCATGTGTGCTAAAATCTAATAAGTTACAGGGTATGTTACAGTTTATAGATATTGTATGCAGTATGCCCTTTTTAACGTCCCAATGCTGGACACGGGCCTCCCTTCAATACCCACTCGTATCAGCCTACAGCTCATCCCCCATCCCACGCTGGCAAGTGCGGGTTGGCGGACTCCACATGCCTTTCGAAAACTTGCTAGGTTCTCTCAGACATGCAGGTTCCTTCACCGTAAGACGAGTGGTAATCATGTTGAAAATGATTCGTATATGAAAATATCAGAGGTACGAAACCCGGTATTTGAACTCACTTCACTATTTCACCCAAGGTTTCCGAAACGATAGTGTTGCCATTGGGCTACCACAGCCTGATCAATAATTTAATACTATTTATTTATTTTATTATTTGTATTGTAAATGTGCATATTTTAATAATTTCCATGTATACTTTCAGTTATAATTGCAATTTTTGCAAATTTTAAGCTCTTTATGTTGCGTATAATCTAGTTTCGATCCATAAAATTTACTTTGTAAAGTTATTTCTTTTTTCTTCTTTTATTTTTGCTATCAAGGTAAAGAGGTCTTAAGCCCTATTTGGTTCAAGGACAGTTATAAGTGTTTTACAAAGTCAAGTGTTTCACTTCACTCACTTCAAAGTAAGAAATTATAATCTGTGATGAAAAGAAAAAAAACTAAAATGAAGGCCCATTTTATATGCTTAGAATGCCATAATTTATATTTATATTTAAAATTTAATATATATTGAATAATTAATAAAATTGGTCATTAAAATGCATAAGTGTTATATTTACAATACATACATTTATATGTACATTGTGTATATATATATATGCCTCGGTGTAGTGGCTAGCATGTACGGCTGCACACCCGGAGGTCCTGGGTTCGAGTCCCGGGTCGGGCCAAGTTTAGTTATTGAGTCTTTCTGTCTAGTAAGTCTCAGTAACAGCCCGGAGTTGGGAAGTTGGTGGTGTTTCACCCCCGTGCCTCGGAGAGCACGTAAAGCCGTCGGTCCTGCGCCTTAACTCTTACTGGTCGTGTCGAGTGGTCGTCCCACCGGAGTATGAGAGTGATAGGAATAGAGAGTGCACTTGTGTCTGCGCGTACACTTGAGCACTATAATATCTCCTGCGCAGTTGGCTAATCTCAATGAGATTGGCCGCCGTAGCCGAAATCGGCTAGGAGAACATCATCATATATCTTTATATATATAATTCTTCTGTGAGTGTGTATGTCACTGAACTTCTCTAAAACGACTGGACCGATTTTGATGAATTTTTTTGTGTGTGTTTAAGGGGATCTGGGAATGGTTTAGATTCACAATTTGAATAATAATTTTCATCAAAAAAATTATTAAAAAAAGTTTGAAATTTTCAAATTAAAGACGTGTAGACAGGACAACATCTGTCGGGTCCGCTAGTATATATATATATATATATACACACATACATACGTACATATATATATACTATTACTTATACTGTACGTTTAATTTTTAAATATTAGAAATTTACTATTGACTTACACTCGCTTTGCTCGGGTGCGTATAGCGTTGCTATAGTTTAATAGGTCTTTTGAAGGGCAATAATTCTGTTATACATTGTTTTCACATAGCTTTATTGGTTGACGCGGCCTACGCCAATAAAGATTCTATCAGCATGATTTTTTCCGACATCTTAAAAAATCATCGTCATACTTCAGCCAATTTACATAAAACGTTAATGAATTTTCCTCGTAAATCACTTCGTCTATTAATGAAAGCGTTGAGACAGACAGACGCGGCACGGAGGGTGGATTTTATTTTATAATATGTAGTGATTATTAATTACTTCTTTAAAAATAACAAATCTAAGTTAAACAAGATGTCAACACAATCGTAAACAGATAAGCCAATAGAGAGCAATGGAATATGATATATATTACAAACAAATAAAATTGAAATATCTGCCTCTGATTCAATAGTATTGCAACATGCATGACACTAAGATCGAGGCATTAAAATGTTATTGTTTTTTTGTTCACAAATAAACAAAAATAAACCCAAATATGTTCAGGAACTTTTAGGGCGACTTACTTATTTGCCTTAGGGAAGAAAGAAGAGGAGAATAAGAAAAGATGATAAAAATATGGCTATGATTGAGATTGAAATTAAAATTGTATTTGTAGTGTCGAAATAAAAGCTTTTGACGGGACTTTCACTGGTAGATAGTTGATGTTATAAAGAGTAACTTAGGCTACTTTTATTTTAGAAAAATAATTAGTTTTCTGCAAAGAAAATAAAACATACCTAGAGATACACCTGAGCGAAGCAAGCGTAAGTCGCTAGTTTGTTATAAAAATGTCAAATATGGAAAATATTTTAATTACTAACCTGTAATAGTAGTATTTGGTCCATGTTCTTGTAAATCCAACATGTCTAAGAGTTTTTGCCCACTGAAATGTCTTGTAAAGGGTTCTAACGATTTTTGCCGATGCATAAAAATTACTGCATAACCATGTTCTAGGAAATATTCAGCAGATGCAGACCCCCTAGTGCCAGCACTAAAGTTATCTACAAAGCGTACTGTATTATGCTCCAGTGGGACTGTTGTGCCTCCGGACTGAAAAAATTGTTATTCAAGTTAAAGAAATTAAAGAAAATAAATCATTTTCATACTAAATAGCACAACATACAAAACCAATTAGCACAATATAAAATACTCACAGTAACTAAAACTATTTTATTTCCATACTGGTCATGTCTCTTACAGAACTCCTTGAGCAGTGAGCGATTATCTTCAAAGTCAGTGGGAGGTAAGTGAACAGCAAAGAATTCTTCCCAAGAACCAGTGGCCATTTTTCTGCAACGTCTTACAAATGCTAAAAACAAAAAAAAAGGAAAAAATATATCATACAAACAATTACCTACTTAATAAATACATATATATATATATATATATATATATATATTATTTTATTATTAAGAACAATATTAATATGAGAACATTTTACTTATAAGACAATATGAATTCCTAAAAACACCTGATATAGGATATGTGGAGTGAAAAATTTTGTAATTGGATTAGAAGCTTTGGTGTAATTTGGCACACATTGTTAAGGTCTATTAGTTAGATATTGTGGGGATTCACAACTGTATAGATAGTAATTGAATGCAAAGAATACATCATTTTTAGATGGTTTTATAAAATTCAGTTTCTAAAAAACAATTCAGATTCTAAAAAATATTTTAATTTAGTAAAAATTCAAGCCTCCTGTAATGAAATACAATCAATATTTTTTAGGACAACTGGCATCAGCATTATTAATTAAAAATTACCTATTTAACAAAGTATAACCTCACTCATGTATGTAGTATGCTACTTGTTGCTATTCCAGCAAAATATTTGTTTTACTAAGATAGGTTTTTTTCACTAACATCACATTTCATTCTAATCAGATTGCGCTTGGGTGGAGTAAACAGAGATACCGATAGTCAATGTTGACTATCATCTTGTGCGAGAAGGAAACCGCAAACTTTAAAATAGTAAGCATTGAAAGTTAAATAAAGATAGAAAGACATAGAATTCTGATAGACGAAGGTCACAATGGTTATATATTTAAGAAACATACGTACCAAGCGTAGCTTGTTAAATTAAGATGATATCACAAATTGATCTTTACACCACGGAACACTACGTCACAATGTCTGTACAATATAGATCTAATGACTACGGAGTAATCAACCTGCGGCTTTAACGAAAAATCGATGTTTTAATAGAACATCACACCATGTTTGCAAAGCCTATAAATTAAATGGTTAAGGGTGGACAGATGATTAAAATTGTAGGTTACTGTAAAATATTTATTAATGGAGTACATATATTTTAATTATGATATTGAGTATTGCCGCTAATGATAATCCTAAATCCTTATCGCGTTCACGTTATCAGTCCGCGACAATATGATTGACAATGACAATTTCCCAGTATATAACTATAAGTATACTCTTTGATGACAATTGACATTTGACAAGCACAGACCACAGACTAGGAGACAGGAGTGCACGATATATATCGATATTTCATAAAATATCGATATATGTACGCGATATATCGCTTCAACCCAATAGTATCGAATCATCTAGTATCGATATTATATATCGATATATTTTATTATTATCAAATATCGTGAGAAATTAAAAGCACATTCTATTTCTTTTTTATATTGATTCCTTTATTTATGGATGGCAACTTGAGTAAGAATTAAACGTAAAACCCCGAATTATTGAAAAACTAGCCTTCGCAATAACGGAACGCAAAGACACGAAAATCGAAAACTATTTTCCTACTCTCCGTGAAGGCAGACTAAAGTGCGTTTCACAAAAGAGTTCCCTTCTGTTTTAAATGTTGGTAGCACTGGTTGTCTTATTGTGTCAATACTGTCAGTGTTCAGAGCTCTCGAGGTTTTTAATTTGTTCTAGTGTGATTTACTTTTCAATCATTCCTAAGACATTAAGAAGTGGTGAAAGAGAATTGGTTCTCAAAGTTAAAAAGTTTTGTGAACGTGAAAAAGCTAATAAAGCTCCTCTTATTCTATTTCAAAATGTTCGCAGTCGGGTAGCGGCAATGACAGGTTAGTAAAATGGTGTTGCCATAAGCAGATGTTAGTCCCGAAAATACGTAATTATATTATATGGAAAAATAATTATTTAATAAGTAATACTTAGTTTACTAATAAGTATTATTTTAATAATTTCCTTACATTGGAAATGATGCATTAGGTCTGAACGTTATTTTATTTTACTTTTAGGTATATCAGAAAAGACGGTGACAAAAATAAGTCAAGAAGGTGCAGTTGCCGCAAGTACATCTACAAAAATTTCAACTCCGGGAAAATCACGCCCACACGAAAAGAGAGTTTATTTATAATTGGATGACTTTGACCTATGTGTTATACGTCATAAAGTTGATGAATTTTATGCTGTTCGAAAAGAAGAATGTGATCACGTCAGAGCTATTGAAGAAAAATATTATGTCAATGATTTAGAATTGGACAAAGAATTAGATAATTTCATTATTGAAGTAAGAGATAGTGAAACGTCTTCAGACAGTGATTGTGATAGTATAATTTCAGGTTTAACTCCTATTGAAATGGACCATGCGTATTAAAATAATTTCCATGTTTTCATGTTTTAATACTGGCTAAATTACATTGTATAAAAATCAGTGTTGTTTTATTATTGTTTTAGTTTTTTAAATAACTAAGAACATTTGAGCGTAAATAAATATAGCAAACCAATTAATATTTAATCAAGTTTTAAGAGTAAAATACCTTATCTAAAAGCAACCTTGCGTCTTGCCTACGTAGATCGGTATGTAGATAGCTTAAACATTTATTGCACCAGAACAACATATCAAAAATCAGGAAATACGATTATCATAAATAGTTGGTAATTTTACATCAAGATATGGCAACATTGAAGCCAGTGTAGCCAATATAACCACGAAGGGAACTCTTTACTGAAACGCACTATAGTCTCTAGTAGTAGTAAAATTTTTATAATCTGTGACTGTAGTCGTAACTCGTAGTGTGCCTGTGCCTCGAGAGTCTCACTCGCTTCCGAAATCCGAGTTCCAACTTCCATTTCGTTCATCGTTCTCACTTCTCAGTACAAATGACAAAATAACCTATAAAGTATAAATAAAAGTTGTCTGTTTTGCTTAATACAGTTTACGAAATTTAAATACAGTTAGTGAATAGTGTGTATAACGATATATAAAAACGGCTATTTAATATTTTAACTCGGCAGAGAAGGAGACTGCACGTCAAAAAATTGAATAAAATTTTGTTTTTGCAAGGTCTAGAGACAAAGTATTGGGATTAATAAATAAATAAAATATTTCGTTTATTCACTGTTTTTCTCATATTAATCTGATCCCTATCTAATATTTAATATTACAGACCAGTTTAATACAAACAAATAATTTACGATGTTCGATATATCAAAAATATTTTTACAATACATCGCAAAGTATCGATACAACAATACGATATATTATATCGAAAAAAATATCGATATTTTTTTATATGAACATCCCTCGCACAGTCCACTACCAGGAACAAATGACAAGTGTATATGACGTCATTTTGACAGTTCTTTTAAATGTTGGTAGCACTGGTTGTCTTATTTTGTCATCAATCACGCCTAAGACATTAAGAAGTGGTGAAAGAGAATTGGTTCTCAAAGTTAACAAGTTTTGTGAACGTGAAAATGCTAATAAAGTATGCAAAAAAAAGTATGCAAAGTAAAAACATTTTGAAATGGAATAAGAGTTATTCCATTTCAAAATGTTCGCAGTCGGGTAGCGGCAATGACAGATTAGTAAAATAGTGTTGCCATAAGCAGATGTTAGTCCCGAAAATATGTAATTATATTATATGTAAAAATAATTATTTAATAAGTAATACTTAGTTTACTACTAAGTAATATTTTAATAATTTTCTTACATTGGAAATGATGCATTAGGTCTGAACGTTATTTTATTTTATTTTTAGGTATATCAGAAAATACGGTGACAAAAATAAGTCATGAAGGTGCAGTTGCCGCAAGTACATCCACGAAAATTTCAACTCCGGGAAAATCACGCCCACATGAAAAGAGAGTTAAATTGAATGACTTTGACCTGTGTTATACGTCATAAAGTTCATGAATTTTATGCTGTTCGAAAAGAAGTTATGACCCTGACAAAACTATTGAATGATTTGAAGGTCGATATCAATTTTAATGGAAGCCGCACAAGTCTGTGGAGAATCATGCGATCAATTGGTTTTCGCTTTCAAAAATGCACAAGCAAGAGAAAATTTTAATGGAGAGACCAGACATAATAGCTTGGCGAGCTAAATATCTAACACAGATGCGAGTGAATCGTAGTGCTGCTGCTCCTCGACCTGTTATTTATCTGGATGAAACTTACATCCATGCTTCGTACGGTGTGACCAAATGCTGGAAAAGTGAAGATGAAGAAGGAGTTCTATCTTCCAATGCAAAGGGAGCTCGCTGGATAATAGTGCATGCTGAAGGGGAAAATGGTTTCGTGCCCAATGCTAGGGTGATTTTTAAGTCACAAACAAAATCCGGTGATTACCGCAATGATATGAACCAAACAAATTTCATGAAGTGGTTGAAAGAAAAACTTGTACCTAATCATCCTAATGGATAACGCGCCGTATCACAGCGTCAAAACTAACAAGTCGCCAACAATGGCAAATAGTAAAGCGGAAATGCAACAGTGGATTACCAATAAGGGACTTGCATATTTGCCAAACATGCTTAAATGTGAACTTTATGAAATTATTAAAGAGCACAAAGAAGAACCTATTTATGAAGTGGATTCCTATTTAACATTACATGGCCACAAATCGTTAAGGTTACCGTCTTACCACTGCGATCTTAACCCGACCGAAATGATTTGAAGTGTCATGAAGAAACGGGTGGCCGAAAAAAATGTAGGACAAGAATCAAAAAATATTGTTCACCTGACGGAAGAAGCTTTTGATGGCATCACACCTGACATATGGAAGAAAGAATTTTTTGCCGTAGAATCTATTTATGTTATTATTTTTTCGAACTTATTGATATTTTATTAGTTTTTGATCGATTTTGGAGTTAAAATGATCCATTTTTTTTTTGAAAAATTTGATTTTCAGGTAATTACAGAAAGAAATAAAATTCATTTATAGTACAATCTTGTTTATTCATTAGTTAACAATTTAATTTTAAAAAATTAAGTTGATATTTATAAAATTTAATCAGTTTTCTTAAAAAAATCTATAAAAATGTAAAAAATAAAAATAAAGAAAAACTGAACAACGTATGAACAATTACTTACTTAAAAAACTTAAAAAAATAATTTGGTATTAATCCTTCTGGTCTAAAATTTCAAACTTCTTAAACAAATATATTTGGCTTTGGGGGGGGTCATGACCCCCATGACCACCCTCCTGGATCCGCGCTTGCCTGTCATCGGCGAGGAAGGCTGCTATTACAGCGGACACTGAAATGTTAATTATTTAATAAGATACAATATTAAAGAAGATCTAATTATTACACTTTTCTGTTTTATATTATTTCTATTACATTTGTGTTTTAGGTATATCTTCTAGAGCTACGTTTTTCAGATAAGAAAAACCACTGTCATTTTATTTTTGAACAAATGGACCGTTTCGATGACGTTTTGATCACACTCTTATCCTTATTTAGCGAGTAGCGACTCACCCTCGCTTCGCTAGGGTTCGTCCCTAGCTTACTTCCCAATACAAACTTTCATCCCCATTTTCACCCCCTCAAGGGTTGATTTCCGGGATAAAAATTATCCTACTTCCTTCCCAGGGTCTCAAACTATCTTCGTAGGAAATCTCATCTAAATCGGTTCAGTAGATCCAGAGATTATCCTCTAGAACCTCACAAACTCACAAAAATCCTTATAATATTAGTATAGATGATGTGGACATAGAGCACATGATATGAGAACTGTTGTTCGCTTTTCCTCTACCTACATTATGTATGGCATTTAAGTTATAATACGAGTAGGTACTGTACAAACATTTGTTTCACGCTGGTATCGAACTCACGACTTTTGACGTATTAGATAGTGGTAGTAAAGACCATACACACCAGTAAAAATATACGTAAAATAGTATATTTACCTACATAGAGTCTGTGTTTAGTAACTATAGACAAATAAGTTATAATATTGTAAGGGTCCTACTGAGACGTTAAATGAAAGGTGGACTGTATAATTCGCTGGTTTATATTGCCTATAATAAAAATTAGATAAAAGTATTTCGAGGCGGCCGTTAGCGGTGGGCTCCGTGCAGGCGAGTGCGGCCAAGCCGCCACAGCCCATCGTCGGCGCGATGATCCCCGCTTACCGCGACGTGAGACCGGTTCCCAACAAAATATTATAAATTAAGAATTTAAAAAACCCCCTACGCAATTTAATTGTCATTTAACGATTATAGTGGCACGAGTGAAGCACTTAATTGAATAATCATTTTGGCAAAGAGCTGATACTCTTACACTGCTAGACCGATATTAACAAAACATAGCTAAGAACCACCGTAAGGAAACTGGCTTTCAAATGATTAAAACCGCGTCGAAATCGGTCCATCCGTTTGAGAGCTACGATGCCACAGACAGACACACACACACACAGACAGACATCGACGTTAAACTTATAACACCCGTCTTTTTGCGTCGGGGGTTAAAAAGTAAAAACAATTTAAAATAAATGCATCCTTACATGCAAAAAGAACAGAATATACATAAAATCCACCTTCACAGTTTGTTTCTAACAATGCATTGAGAATTTGTATTGATGCAAATGATGCTATTCGAGTTCCTGTCATTGTAAAAGCTACTGCCGTCGCCCTGGAAATAACAATATTAGGTATATACAAGTTCTTTACAGATAGAATTTATAAATGAAATGCGTTCACTGCAAATAATATTTGTATCCGATATTTCTCAATGGAAGCTGACTGATATGTTCTCAAAATATTTCAAAAAAATGATATCACATCTGTTGGTACAATATTGCAGATACTTTTTATTCGTTTAAGTGTCGTCTGATAATATAATCCATTTATGCCAGTTTTATTGAGTGCCTTAAGTTTATAAAAAAAGGGCAAGACGTTACCAAAAATACTGACCGAAGGTTACCGACTGATTGGTAGTGAATCTTGTAAATAGAAATTGTAAAAAATAATGATACGTAAAAGGTGCAACTCACCATCATCTCAAATAACTCACCTAAGGTAAGTTGGGAACAAAGCAACAGAAATAGCAGTGTAAAGTCCATAGGTGACGATGCCGTTGAGGAAGACCATGAACATGACAGCGCTAGTGATGGCGTTGGGTATGAGGTTGACGAGCACCCCGCACACACCACATAATGATGTCACAAACATAACCATGTTGCGTCGACCAAAGCGATCTACTACCTAACAAAAATTATAAAATTATAATGTGTAAATCATTTGCATAATTGCAAATTGTACTTAAATGGTTAAGAGACTATCATTGCAAGGGATATGAGAAATTTTATTGCCCATCACCCCTACCTACTTTTTAAATGACAGAGAAAAAATTTCAGTCCAAAGTTATAATAATTAAAATATAACAATGTTTTTCGGTTCGTCCTTATATTAATGATAATATGTCGTCACTTTTGGATTATCACAATAGTGCAAGAGCTACATATTTATGAATTATGAGAGCGATAAACCTCCTCCCCTCTTAAAGAATGAAAACTAATTGTAAAAGTTGGTATAAAACCATTATCATGTACCTATAAAAATATTTAATGTTAGAAAGTTTTGGGTAATAGATCGTATCATATCTATCTATTTGTATTAATTATATAAAATAATTTGTGTAATGATTGATTACATTTGCAACTTACTAAACTTATGAGTGCATTAACTACAGACTGCATCGCGCCCACTCCAAGTACCATTAGTAAGGACGTAACATTCAAAGAACATGGTACTGCATCTGGCTGTAAAATAAAAACAAAAATATACATACATAGTGCACGTATTTTGAAAACCTCAAGTCTTCGATGTTTTCCTTCACCGTTTTCTTTGTGAAGTGTTTACTGTTTTGAAAATAATACGAAATCTGGTGAGGTTTTATATTTATAATTAAAAAAATCGATAGTTAATAGAAATAATAGGCAAAAAAATCATGCTTCTCTGTGTTCCATGTAAACAAATATTTTGTCTTTGCGGGGCCCCCGTGGGGCTGGGAGCCCTAGGCCGGTGTCCCGTGTGTCTTTATGGTAAAGACGGTACTGCTTATATATGTAGTTTCAAATATTGTTAATATAAAACTGGGTTTATTATTTATTGATTTAACTTTCTTTCACCTGGCAACTTGTCATAATTTTATGAAAAGAGATAATATTTTATGGGCCGGGGAGTGACATCAGCTATGTTTTATGTCGGTAATTCAAATGCTTCAGCCCTTTTTAACGTCCTACTGCTGGGAATTCCCTTCAATACGAGGGGGACCAGGCCATAGTCCACCAAGCTGACTAAGTGCGGGCTAGCAAACTTCCCATGTCTTTTGAAAAACTTGCTTTTTTGGACTGTCATTTAATAATAAGTCTTTCAAGACCAATTTCGGTGCAATTTCTTCTATAATTCTAGTTACAAACTACTTACATCTGGAGTGGCATTGATGCCGCTTTGAAGAATTCCGCAAAGGGTTAAGTTCGATCCCTCCCCCGTGTTTAATATTTCTACAAATCGGTTGGCAATTGTTGGCAGCCAAACTTGAAATGCTCCTGTTCTGAAAAAGTACACAAATGGTCAAGACTTGTTACGTTTATTTGTGGGTGAAGGTGCTATAAATTTAAATTTTTCCTCTATGACGTGTCTGTTTAAGGAGTACTGTAGACTGTAGTAATTATATAGTAATTAGTTAGTGCGATTTTTTGTGCTATCGGATTACATCGGATTTGATTAAGGAATAAATATCAGGTGTATTAGATGAGAGGTTGTCAAGTTATTTAAATTAACGTAAACACTATACTACTACTTAAACACTATAATACTTTAACACCTCCATTTAAATTTCTAAGAAGATTTATAAGAAATTAAATAAATTTCTAACAAATTAAATAAATTTCTAAGAAATCTATTGTTAATTGTAACGCCGGCGTGTCTGCGGTCCTTGAGGGATTAAATCGTTAATATTATAGATTTCTCAGAGATGAGATATTTTCCCGCAAAAAAGTATCCTATATGTTGACCCGGATAACCATCTATCATCATACCAAATTTCATGAAAATCTGTCCAGTGTTTTCTGGCGATGCGTTTCCAGACAGACACACAAACAGACAAAAATTCTAAAAACTATAGATTCGGCCTCTATCGATATATTTAATGTAGGTACATTAAATATAGATTCGACTCAGAATTTTATTATAGGTATGTATATAATAATGTCGCGTAATGGAGAGTGTGTAACGTTATTACACCAAAAATAATAATTAAAAAGACGTCTGAAGCAAGCTTTATACATCATAAGACAGTTATCAAAACATTTCCAGAGAGGCATCGAAATTACTAGAAGTTTCGAGATTCAGACAAGAACAGTTAATCGTAAATTACAGAATTGTGTAAGAGTAAGAAAGGAACAAAACATTTGAGAAAGAATTTTCGAATACTAGAATGTTCTTTGTTTATGCATATAAAAAGGCTGGCAGTGTGTCGAGAGATCAGTTGAATTCCGAAGCTAAGTGAAGTTTGAGAAGAATTACGAAAAAGCGAAAACGTGAAGAGAAGTGGAATGAAGTTATAGTGAAAGTGTATCTAGTCGTGAAAATTAGTGTTCAGTGACTGAGTGTAACCAGAACCGGTATATTTATACTGCGCGTGTTAGTGAATCTCCATAAGTCACTCTTGTTAGCCAAGAGTATTGCAAAAGACGAGCTTTTATTTCCGAACCCCGAACTCATAGAACGTAACAATAATATATAGATATAGATAATATACGCACTTTTTTATTTGTAACATATATACCTACCTACAGTGTTCATGTTACGCTACCAAACACACCAGATAGTTAAATAATAATTATGATAATGTGAAGAAAATATATTCGTAAAATAAAAATATACTCAACTGTTGCACTATGAAAAGCGATGTTACAATTATTGTGCTCTTTAGCAGTGGCGCTTTGAACAATGGGAGAAATTGATTTTTGGCTGTACTTGGTCCAGTTGAGGGCGAAGCTTCTATGGAAATATTATTTATCTACAACGAAATATTTCATTAATTAAATGAACAATAGCAGCACAAAATTTCGGGAGGGGCTCTTTATGCTAGAACCATCGAGTCCTAATGATGAGGTTTCCTATTGCCAATATAAACAGATGCTTAAACATTCATTTGGCACTAATTAGGCATGAATATAAAAAACGAATATCATGTTTTCATATTCATGCCTCAAACTAACTTAAACTTAGAAGGCAATGCTCAAATCACATGGACAATTCTTTTCACAATTTTCCCTACTTTACAATTATACTACTTATATTAACAATCAATAGTATATAATATAAAAATATATAAAAACTCACTTCAAATTCTTCCTTCTTTCCTAAATGGTTTAGTCTATAAATCTTCTTTAATACATCTAAAGCCTCAATATTCCGCCCCTTTGAGTAAAGGAACTTTGGGCTCTCACACATGAAGTACAGCCAAATAGCGGAAATAATACTGGGTGCAGAGTAAACGAGGAGAAGGGTTCTCCATGAGTTCCAGTAGATGCCCAAGCTTGGCAACTCATAAGAGAAAGTGAGAGGAATAATTGGTATTGCCAAAACTAAAAAAAAAGATTGATTAAAAAGTTTATGCATATAATAAAATCTATCCATCGAAACGCAAAGCAATGAAAGGTATTATGGTAAGTAATCCAAATTAATTTTAGTATTTACCTATTATTTAATAATTATTATCTGTTTATCTGAGCAGGTATCAAGGTAAAAACAAAAAAAGATAACTAATATATAAAATTTAAAAAATAACTATGATATAAAATGAGAATAATAGGAACGAGTGTGTTTATACTTAGATGAAGGGTACAGGCAAAGAAAAGGGAATCTCACAATTTTTTTTTTGTTTTGTACTGGTTATGAATCTATGTCTACGTTCTATGTCAATAGTATTCCCAACCGATTTTTAATTGCTTTTCTGTCATAATCCATTCATTAGGATATTCCGTTCTTTGCTGCATACTTCAGAGAGTAACAAAGACTAAAATGAAAATTTATAAAATAGGTAAATATTATGTATATAAATAATTTTAAGAATTTCTTTCCTACCTGCCATAATTCCTTGTGCCAGTAAAAATATGCTGCCCACTAGTATTACTACGATGTTACGTTTTGCCATAGGGACACTCTCGCTCAAAATGGTCATAGCCTGCGAATACTGGCCTGATGCCCTTAAAAATGTAATAAAAATCTTGTTTTCATACTCCCAATCAAATCAAGTAAAAACAAAAAAAACTTCAATTTAAAGAAAAACGTTAAAAAATTTATATGCTTATCCTGTCAAATTAAGATTAAAACAAAATGTTAATTTAGCCTTTATACATATTATTAGATAAGATATATTTCAAAATATAAACAAACGTAATATTTTAAAGTGACATTTTTGACTTTTGAACCCAAAAGATGTATGAAAGCTTAAAAAACGCTTATTATTTCAGTCTGCGTTTTTTCGTATAAAATAAATAGCCATTGTTTTAATCTTTTGACGTATTTACTTTCATTGTTTACCCGATAGTCATGAAAAGTATAGTATACTATTTGAGTACGGAGAATATATTTGCGGTTTCCATTCTCTCGAATACAAGACGAATCTCACATAATTACTAGATCTGTACTGTGAAGTAACTACAAATTAATTGCAGTAACATATTGATATATGTTAATCTAGCGGCTCACCCTCACTACGCTCGGGTTCGCCTCTAGGTAATCAAAAACAATCCTATCCCACGGGAACCGTACATTTTTTCGGGATATAAAGTGGCTTATCCAGATCCGCTTAGCCGTTCTGGCGTGAAAGAGTAACAAACATCCATACGCACAAACTTTCACATTTATAATGTTAGTATAGATAAATCTAAATAAGTCATTACTTACAATAAAGTAGCAGTGAATTGTAAGATCATTAGCATGACCCAATTGACGGACAAGCTGGCCAGCGCGTTGACTGTCGCTGATGACAGCAAAGATATGAGCAGGGTGAACCTTCGACCAAAAACATCCGTGAGGTACCCCCATAATATTGCTCCAATAATCAAGCCTGAATGAATCAGATTAAAATAATTTTATCATTATTTATTACAATATATATTAATGACTAATGAATACTTAGCATTAATTATAATATTCTATAGATAACATCGATTAAGATGGATAATGAGGATAACATCTTTTTAAATTTTATCCCATTTTTCAACAAATTGGTAACTATAAATAAATATAAAAAATAGATATAGGTATTTTGTTTATAATTAATATATACTTTTTTTCACTTACTTTTTTTGTTTTGAAAATCGTCATTTAATGAATACCGGTGTTGAGTCTACCTGTGTATGTTAACATAAACACAACAAACTTTCGCATTTATAATCGTATTTCGATTACTTATTATATGAAATTTTTACCAACAAGTGGAGTAGCAGCCAGTATCCCTCTTTGAGCCGTGGTCGTTTTCAGTTCACATGCACTGGTGGGAATAATTATAGTCGTACCATATGCTATACACGCAACGGAGATAATCACTAAACCTGACAAACTGGCTATTAGGTAACTATAAAGGCCGAATCCTGGAAGGAAAAATAAGAAAATTTGTATTATATAGTCGCGAAGTGGAGATGATAGAGATACGATACGAGTGGATACGATAGAGATTACACCAAAAATAAAATTTAAAAATGACACGCCTGGAACATGCTTTATGCATCCTAAGACAGTTGTCAATACGTGTGCGTGTGAATCACCATAAGTGACTGTTACGAGCCAGAAGTAATAAAACATATGTAGTTCAGAAGAAGTACTTCAATTTTCGATGCTAGAACGTAACAATATATTACATCACAATCCGCTCTACGTACGCCCAAGCTGTTAGTAATTTAACGCAATTTACAGCTGAATACGCGAACATACTTCATACAGTTGCATGAAATATAATCGCGAATTCAGCGGTCGTATTACATAAAAGTTATTAGAGAACAGACCCGAAATTCTCGCACCAATAGTAGGGGAGCCCAAGAGGGAATTTTCGCAGTTACTCAAGCTCGGCAGATTAATATAAGGGGGGATACCTTGAACTCTGTTGAGTACCTCGACCATAATATAAGTCCTCTATATAAGGGTGCGCGTCTAGGGCAGGCAAAGAGCAAAGGCAGAAATCAACATAAACTTTATAGTCGATTTTTGCCTCTTCGGCTTGTGCAAATCGGCAGATTATTGATTTGCACACTTTTCAGGATGTACTTAATTAGCCCACCATACCTTAATCTGACGATTTGAAGTAAAAATTCTACCATATCAAAATATGTTTAACTAATATTATTATATGTATAGATCCAGTTCAGATGACCAAAAATCAAATTCTTAGATTTTACATATTAGTATACTCTTAAATTGCAGTTTTGTATTTTTTCTCAGAAATGAGACATTTTCCCGCGGTAAAAAGTATCCTATATGTTGACCCGGATAACTAGCTATCACCATACCAAGTTTCGTCAAAACCCTCTAGTGGTTTTTTCGCGATGCGGTAACAGACAGACAGACAAAATTCTAAAAACTATAGATTCGGCCTCTGTATCGATAATAATGTCTATTTCAATAAGATTTTCCAAATAATATTTAATGTACAGATTCGGTTTAGTTACAATTTTATTATATGTATAGAATAGCATTACCCGCGGCTCCGCCCGCGTTCAGATGACCAAAAACCAAATTAAGGGCTTTACATATTACTCTTACATTGCAGTTTTTGTATTTTTTCTCAGAAATGAAATATTTTCCCGCGGTAAAAAGTATCCTATATGTTGACCCGGATAACCAACTATCATCATACCAAATTTCATCAAAATCTGTCCAGTGGTTTTCTCGTGATGCGGTAACAGACAGACAGACAGACAAAAATTCTAAAAACTATAGATTCGGACTCTGTATCGATAATAATGTCTATTTCAATTTGATTTTCCAAAAAATATTTAATTTATATTTATAAGATGACCGTGACTACATAGACGGCTAGATCTTTTTCTGTCACAAACAGAGTAGGTTTCATTGTACCTATCAATAGCCCGGTACACAAACATTTGACCAAGCTTATGGAGAGTTTTAAAAATTGTGTTTGGCTCCATATCTACTTTGTGTAATGCAATCACAGTGATTCGATTCTCTTTATCACCCCACTCCATTTTAATATCACAAAATATTTTACAATGTGTTGGCGCGAAAATGAGAAAACACAATGAAAAATCATATAAAAATGACAGACTCCAAATTCAAATATAATATTTTGTTTATTTTTAATTATAACAATATTTATGACCAGACTATGTATATTTGTAAATATTTAATTTTTAAAAGGCCTAATAATTATTTTGTTTTTTAATATAGATTTAGTCTAACAATAATATTATCTTAATTAATTAAGTAAAATGTGATAGTTATGTATAAAACACTTAATAAATATAAGGTACTCGTACATTTTTTTCCGAATATTTCTAATGTTTGCAGTTTCAATTAAATTAGAGATATCGTTTCGGTACTACTGGCGTTTCTTTAATTGATTTCCTTGAAACATTTTCTATTTGGTATGTTCCAGTTAGATTGTATTTAACGTTTTTGCTTTGCTGAGAGAAAAACAGTTTCTACTTATTGTATACTAGAGACTCACCCTCGCTTCGCTCGGGTTCGTCCTTAGGTTGCTTCCACATGCGAACTTTCATCCCCATTTTCACCCTCTTAAGGGATCATATCCGGGATAAGAACTATCCTATGTCCTTCCCAGGATCTCAAACTATCTTTTTACCAAATTTCATCTAAATTGGTTCATTCGTTTCTTAGCTTATTCGGTACAAACAAACAAACAAAAAATGTTTCCTCTTTATAATATTAGTATAGATAGCAATTATGCTAAGTTATGAAAAGGTATTCAGACTTTTAAATCATTTCAAAATAATTAGTAATAATAATATGGAAAACCGTAAGTAAAAGGAAGCATTCTAATGTAATATGTACGGAAATTCTCACCTGCTTTATTTAGGGCCACTTCTAAGGTCACTTTATCTTCAGAAACAACCATATTTATTGCTTTTAGTTTATTATACACTATTTTAAGCTATAAAATAATAAATTTGAATAACAATATTTTATCAGTAATTCATTATTTATGTAATCCACGTCCTTCTTATATGAGGTTCGCACGTAAATGATCCGTATGCTATCTGCGAATTAGGATGGTAATCGCCACAGGATAATATGAATATACTTGTTAAGTGTTTCGAATTTACTTACGCCATTTTTATGTATGTATGTTTGATAGTTTTTAACGGCTAAAGCTTGCGTTTATTACGAATATGAAATAACACTTAGGCGATAAAAGTTTATAACTGAATATAAATAATGAATGCCCTATTAGTTTAATTTATTTTTAATTAGAAAGTATATGATAGATTTTATTTTATATTGATTCGATGATTCTAAAATTATTTACTATGTATTTTTCAACTCTAAGCTTTAATGAATGAAAAAACAGAGTTACTGCTACGGAATACATATATAGATAACTAGCGGAACCCGCGGCTTCGCTCGCGGTAAAACTACAAAAAGAACTAAAAAGATAGGTTTTATACAAATTTTCATCCCCGATTTTACCCCTTATGGGATGAATTTAAAAAAATGCTAAAACATATATTGATTTAATTGTATTGAAGAGCATTAATACCAAGTTTCAAGTAATTCTGATCATAATATTTTTTATTGTATTATAAAGTGTTTTGTCGTATGAATGAGATAGTACCCCGCGATAAAAAGTTAAGTTAAAGCCTATGTTACTATCCAGCCCTTCAACTATCTCCACACAAAAAATCACGCCAATCCGTCACTCCGTTTCGACGTGAAAGAAGGACAAACAAACAAACAAACAAACAAACCAACAAACAAACAAACAAACAAACAAACAAACAAAGAAACAAACAGACAGACAGACTTTCACATTTATAATATTAGTATGGATTTTTTACATGACTATCACCTAATGTGGTTTTACTTTAACTTTTACAAAACATTATTAATATTGTGTTGTTCTTAGACGCATCCAGCAAAGCCTTTTAGTAGTTTTCATCTGCCAAATTATCCAACAGAAAAATATTTTTAAAATCAATAATATTTTCCAATACAATCCCATTGCAACAAGTACATATATATCTCGTTTAAAGTGGAATAATCAGGCGATCAATTTTTATATACCAATTTTAAACATCTCGACTTGAACATAAATATTCTGATAAGATATTATGTGGATTGTGGATATTGTTGTCATTGATACCCAAACAATGCAGTATTTGACTATAAATACATATATAAATTACCATTTTTTATCTGTCATAAAATAAATGATAAAATAATGTTATATTTATTGTTTTGTTATTTTGTACTTCTTGTATTAGTTGCTATCGAATAATTATTTTCATATTATAAAATTATGTTATTTTTATGATTTCACTGCAAATGCACTTTTTTATATATTTTTTTTAATTCTATTTACAATTTGATCATAATATTTGACTTAAAAGGTCTAACGGGTTGCAATCGCAACATATCCTTATAGCAATGTTTAGTATAAGAAAATAAAACAAAATATATAATCATTTGAACTTTATTAATGAAAACATTCAATTAATAATTTCAGTTCTTACATATTCGACCATCTACATTAAAAATAACACGATAATTAATAAGTATTAAATATTATAAATGCACATAAATAAAAAAAGAATACTAAGACTATATTTAAATATGTGAAATATAATACAGACAGAAATAAATATCTGGAAAAATATATTAACATAATATTTAATAATTTTTAAAGATAATTAATTCATCAAATATGCTTCTCGTTACTAGACTTTCAGAAATTCGTATAATTTTTACATAATAATAATACATAAAATCAATTCTTAATTAAGTTGACTATGTTAATAATTACAAAATCGATTAACTTTTAGAAATACGTTTAAAATCAGTTCAAATTACAAATAACTTAAAATCACACATCAGTTCAAATCATACATTAGTTCAAATCATAAATCAGTTCACTTTTTTACTTAATTATTTAAATATTAATAAGCAATTTGTTCAGTCTAATTAATTAACCAACAGTACATTACAATTTACATAAGTACGTATTACACTAATCTACATAATATCTAATTAATCTGTCTAAGGCACATCGTAACTTTGCGAGAGAAAATCGAATCCGCGTTAATATACAATGTTTTTTTTTATATAATAACTAAAAATAAATAATTTCATTTGTATACACCCAACACTCTATATGTGGAGTTAACAGTAACAATAGCTCTATCTCGCTCTTTCTTTGTGGAAATGAGAGAGAGAATGCTTTAACTGTTATTAATTTTAAATTTTAAGTATACATAAACACATAATAGGTCTATTTACATATATCAAATGTGTGAGCCTTTGTTAGTGGCTAATCGGTTTTACACATCAGGTTGACAGCGCAAAATGACCCAACCCATATTTAAAATAATAAAAAAAACATGAAATTTAATAAATTGTACTTTGTGTGTAAAATATTAAACAAATTTACTTATTTATGAAAGTATTTTTTGGAATAGGTCACTTTTACGCTGATGGTTTTATAATATTTAAACACGTTTTTACCAGCCACCAATAACAAAGAATTGTAGACATCAACAATATTTGTTTTATTAACACCTAATAAGGAAAACTTAACCGTTAGCTTTGAATTAACTACACTAGATATTACTTAAAAATAAATAATGTAACAATAACCATACTTACTTTCAAACATTCATTACGTTTTAATTACATTGTTAAGGTACCTTGAGTCGATAACTTCTAGAAAATTCTTTATTATCACAGCATTTATTTTTGTCTTATTTATTGGTTTGGCTTCTTATCTTTCGGCAGGAACCATGAGAAGGCGACAGCACCTAAAATAATTAAATAACAAATACATTAAGTACCTATAATCTAGAAAAAAAAAAATGATAAAATTTTTACTTTATAATGCATCAATAAACACGATGCAGGATACCGCTGTGTATAAAAACTAACATTGCAAAACATTGACTTTACTCGACCCACATATAAAAAATGTAATTATTGGCCGACTTCAAAAAGGAGGATATGTTCAAATTGGGTGTGCGTGTTTTGTTTGTTTGTTACGCGAAATCTTCGGCACTTATGAAGATTTCTCTAAACAATAGGAACAATAGGCATTTTGTTACTTATAACTATTTAAGTCTGAATTTTAATAATAACCGCATTAAAACGTGTTCAGTAGTTTTCGTGTGACAAATAAAATAGAACGAAAATGTATTTTTTTTAATTATTTAAAATACATTCAATACCTGATAAAATATAATATATAAAGTATGTAGTGGAAAAATATTTTTTGAATATAAATTCCTAAACACTTACTAAGTAATAGCAATGCCCATCCATAGAAAGTTGCCTCGCAGTTAGCAGTTATGAGCGGACCAATGGCATTCACTCCTAAGAAGGCACTCGACCTCCCCAACATTACTGAAAGACACGACGCCATCCCTCTGGAAATAATCACATCAATATTATAAATGCCAAAATGTGTGTGTTTGTTTGTTACGTTGTTATAGATTATAATAAATTTCAAATGAGATTTATTATATTCTGGGTTAAAACTTCGACTACTTTGTATCGACGTTTCACGCGAGCGAAGCCGCGAGCAATAACTAGCTATTAAAGTGTATGTAGAAATCTTGGTAACTTATTGCAAATCTCATTGTGTCTGTAAGTCTAATATTACTTTATAACTCATAGTAATAACGATAACTTATTCAATTTTAGAGTTCTATAAATCAAAATAAAAAACCCTTTTAGTATTTAAAATGTTTGTCTATTAGACTGTCCATCTATCATGTATCCGATGACGTAGAGTAGCCAGGTGGAGGTAATAAAAATATCGAAATCTTTAACTGCAAGGAACATTCTTGTAACTCAATATCATGATAATTAAAAAAAAGAAATATAATTCTCGTACTTTAAATTGTTAGAATTAGTTACAATGTTATTCCTTGCAGGCAAGGAGACTATAGCTAACCTCAAAGACGTAGGATACAGCTCTACGAAGTACACACTGAGGATGCCCATCGAGAGCGCGCATAGAAGGAACACGAAGAAGAATATACCGCCAGCTATCGGGATTGCTACCAGGTTTAGAAGAATTGCGGCGGCTGCTGATATCTAATAGAAAATGATTATGCGTGTTATATGTATGTGTATAGACAGAAATTTAAAAGAATAGATATTTTGATATTTTCTACATAAATTGTTCTAATATTATAGAGTAAATACAATATTAATGTAATTTACTTATTTGATCATTTTGTATGAGTTTGTTTGATAAGAGTGCTAAGAAATATTAAATTACATTAATTAAATAACAAACAAAAAAAAATTTATTAACTAGCTGACCCGGCAAATGTTGTTTGCCATATGAATTACTTCTAGAGTATGAAAATATATCTTATTTATTGTAAGTTATTTATTTATTGTTGAAGTTGAAAAAAAATTCAAATATAGAATTTATTAAATTATATTTTTCATAAATATTATAAATGTTGGATTTATGCTGTAACTTTAATATATATGAAAAATTAATTTAATTAATTATATATTTGATTTTTTTTGGGTTGGTTGTAGAAGGATGAAAACTAAGGACTGAATGTATTTTTTAATGTCACACTAAAAATATAACTAAAAAAAATTGACCAAAAAATGAGAATTTTTTTTTTGGCGTGAGCCAAATTAACACTTAGGGGTATAAAAATTAGTTATAAGTCTATTCCCAGACCTACTGAATATAAATATAAAATTTCACCAAAATCGGTCAAGCCGTTTCGGAGAAGTGTAAACATGAAAACTGTGACACAAGGTTTTTATATATTAGATAAGAAATTCTTCAATTAAAAAAAACAAAATACATAATAATTAAAATACTTACAGTTAAAATAACAATCATGGCGGCTCGTTTCCGGGAGCCGCAAGTTAGAGACAGCACCAAGTTGATGGAGCAAGCTATCGCGCCGTACGACATGGCCGATATTAGAGTTGTGTCTTGTATCGTATCGTTGCATACTTCTTGAACCTGGTGGAAAATATTTTTTAATAACTAGATTTCTTGTTATATTCATAAATAGAATGTATAGAATTAAAAAATATATATCTTTAAGTGATATTGGCATTCTCTAAACTCGTTTTCCTAAATAAATCCCTTCTCATTTACTATAGTAAAAGTAGAAATGATATTCGGTAACTATTATAATTATTAATTAGCCTTTGTTTGCGGCTTTATCCTCGTTGTTTACGTATAACCTTCTTCGCACTCAAATGCTCAAGTGTACCAATTTTCATGGTGATTGGTTAAAAGGCATAGAAGGTAATGCTTTAGAGCGAAATTGATACCATATTTTTTCAATCGAAATCACTTTCATTTCAAAGCAATGTTGACGAATATTCGGTGATTTACATTTTGATATCTATTTATATTTTTTTTTAAACATATTTACTATAGCATATACTTTTAGAGCAATATGTAAAACTAATCATTAAACATAATATGTATATCATACGTACAGTATTATTCCCATACGAGCCAGCATCGACGGAGTAGCGTATGACGGTGCAAAGGTTCATGCCGGCGCCCTCGCCCGCCGCCAGCACCAAGAAAAGGTTGTTCATGATGTACGGCAGCCAGAGGATGAAACCGCTTCCTCTGGATATTGCAGAAATCATATTGTTACTAATATTAATACGAGAGCCTGTATATAAGAGTAACAAATAGGCACAGACTAAGGAATAATATTTACAGAGTGTCATAGAATCAAACATGAAGCCAATCAATAATCTTTAAAATAATATACGATATTTTAAAATAGTTCCAATGACAATTTGCTTAGAGTAATAAGTAATTATCTAAGAGATTTTGTTATAATAAAAAAAGGCTAAAATCTTTATGTCAAGGGGAAGAGAGCTAATGCTTAAAAATACAAAAGAATACATACTGAAAATTTCACTTATTCTATAAAAAAAGAAATTGATCTGTATGGGAAAATCGAGAATAGTAACATAAACAGCAAATCACGCTACTATTTTTGATTTTTACATTTATTTTGTCGGATCGTTTCAAACAAAAATCTAAATTTAATTAACTTTATTAAAAGTATTCAAAATGAAATTATAGTCATTTTATGTAATCGGATGTACCCATGTGTACAAAATTTTTCTAGTTAACGTAAAAATACATAGATGATACCTAATAGTACAATTGATGATAAATATTAAGTACACTATATTTTTATCAAGAATAATTACAATATAAACAAAAGGATCAAATTGAAATAACTAAACAAATATTACTTACGTCATATAAATAATAACAACTAGATAGAAGAGTTTGAGAGTGACTTTCAATAGAGGTGGTTTCAGTAAAGCCGTAGTTTGTTGCCATATCGCTTTTAAGAAGAATTCTTGTTTTGTGTTTTGATCTCCTTCATCGATGAGTTTTTTGACCTGTTAACATAATGATTAGTTTTTTAGAGATTCATTGTTGAGTAACTGGTGTATTTAACTTGAGGCACATTTTGGCATTATTATGCGTTCTTTTATCTAATAATATTAAACCAATATATATGAAAATTTAGAGCCTTATAGGAAATATTATTAAAGTATTTTGACTCTATGTCGTCGTGTACCCAAAAATTTTAGAAACGATTGATTTCATTGGACAAATTGTAAATGAAAAATGTTCCTTCAAACCAATGTTATTCTCTATATTATACTAAAATAATTAAGAAAGTTACATAGATTAGTTAAAACCATTTTTTTTAATTTGCATTTCTATGAATTATGCTGCAAAAAGGTAATCATTGTAATACACATTATACTTACAGGAAAATTATCTGCTTTATCTCCAGTATTAAAGGCATAGATTTTCTTCAAAACATCTAAGGCTTCTTCATGTTGCCCCTTGGATATAAGGAATTTGGGGCTTTCATGGAAGAATAGTAAGAGGAACGCGGTCGCGGCGCAAGGTATGGACATCACAAAAGCGAGTAAACGCCAGGATCTGTATTTAATGCTTAGAAAGTCGATCCAGTAGACGAAGTTCAGAGGCAGGATTGGGTATGCGAGCACTAAAACAAATAAAATAGTATATTTAAAAAAATGTTTATAGAGTTAACATCTGTTAGATTCCTGGTCTCATTTTCTTCATATAGAATTTGTGTTAAGTAGTAAAGTTAAACGTTTAAGGAGTTTGAGGCTAATTTAAAACTTCAGGGACTAATATATTTCTTATTTTTGCGCTATTTCTTTTTGAGTGTAAATACATATTATTGATTAAATAATATAGATTATTTAAATTAGGTAGGTACATACATAGCTGACGTTCTCAGAGAGACGTCCTGACCAATTTTCAAAATGTATGATCTTTGAGTTCATACAAAATGGTAAAAGCTTTCAGCTTCTCTCGAATTTTTCAATTTTCTGGGTAACTTTTCCAATTTTCCCTAAAAATCTTACTTGGACTATATTCGGACATTTAGAAACTAGACAAATCGGTGCAACCGTTCTCAATCGATGGGCTTACCAACGGACAGCATTTAATTTTTATTATATACTTAGTTTAACTAAGATACCCAACAGCTACATACAGTTACAAAACTTATATAAGCAACATATAAAATGACTTTCTAATAATTGAGTTTAATTTGAACACTTACAAGCGACTGCGGCTTGTGAGCACATGAGCGCGCAGTTGCACAACAACATGGAACGGCCTCGCGAGCGTCCTGAGCAGCTCTCTCCCAACAGCGTGTATGCCGCTGAGTTACTCGCTGATGTACTGTTAATCAAATAAAACTATTAAAATCTCGAATGTTTATATATGTGTGTGTATGCGTGTGTGTATGTTTGTCACGCTTTAAAGTTGCTTTAAATCTGAGCTAAGCAAGGTAAGTCACTAGTCAAATAATATATTTCTTGCTAGAGATTAACCCTCTCATCACACGGGTTCGTCCCTAGGTACGTTTTAACGGTTATTATTGAATAGATAGACTATAGTCTATATGTCATATGATATGTAGCCTATAGGCTATAAGGCTAAACAGGCTATCTAATGCAAAAATAATTTTTCAAATCGAATTAGTACTTGTAGTTCCTGAGGTTAACGCGTTAAAACAAACAACATCGCCGCTTTATAATATTAGAATGCGAAATCTTAGCATTCTATTTCTGCCCAATAAATTAATTTACCCCGCATGGGACACGAACCTGCGATATGCTATTTATGAAACACTTAGAAAAAGAACTTGTAGTAGAGATATAATAAAATATAATTACAGATAGATTATATAATTATAGAAACAATTTTTGAATTTAATGACCTAAATATCTATTTTAGAAATATCTACATATAGGTTACCTACATGCAATTTAAATGACCTACTAGTATATGATCTGTGAACTAACTTAACCTTTAAATTTTATATACGTTTTGTTTGCACATAACGTATTTCCCCAAAAAATATTGTTTGCTATTACAATCTAAAGCAATTATTTATTGTTCTCAAGCAGGTATTATCTAAATAAAAATAGCATGATGTTTCAATGATGATAATTATTTGACTCGTACACAAATATTTGAGTCATAAAAATCTGCGTAATTGATTTAATCATACGTTCTGTAGTTTCATCATGTCGATACTAGGTAACAACTTTAATGAAGATCAAACATTTATACAACACTCATTCTTTATACCACACTAGCGGCTAACCCTCGCTTCGCTCGGGTTTGCCTCTAGGAAAACAAAAACAAACTTATTCATGGAAACCGTACATTTTTCCGAGATAAAAAGTAGCCTATGTGTTATTCCAGATTATAATCTATATCTCTGCCAAATTTCATCCAGATCTTTTCAGTCGTTCTGGCGTAAAAGAGTTACGAACATCCATACAAACTTTCACATTAATTATAACATTATTAATACGGAAGTAAAAAGTGCCGAAAACAGCTCGTTCACACAGCTATGACTTGGGCTGTGCTTGCCAATCACTCAATTATTTCATTGCGAATCAATAGAAAAATACAGCTCGCGTTCTTATCATTATTACATACGATAAGGTTTAGATTTAAAAAAGATACAGATTTCACTGTTTTAATACTTTTGCCTAAGTATTAATACTTTTTAGATTTTGATTAATTTCTAAGCATTGATTTTATATTATGTACATTTTGCTTCACTTTGTAAGTATAGAAGATGATGAAGAAGATTACCATTTATAGGTATTACAGTAAAAAGACAAACATTAAAATATTTACTTACAATGTTGACGATATCAGCTTCAAGAGAGCCATGATCTTCCAGTTTGGGGCAAAACTACTACTTGCTGCGAATACAAATCCCACCGCCATGGATATGATTAATGTCAACCGCCGGCCTCTCGTGTCCGACACGTAGCCCCATAACTGTGCACCAAGGACTACTCCTGAGAAAATATATTTACATCAATACAAATCTATCTACATTATATATTCTATTTATTTATATAAATAAAAATGAATGTTTGTATGTTTGTCCTCGATGAATTTCTAAACTATTCATCCGATTGATATGAAACTTTGATAGAGTCGTCATAAGACGCCGAGGACTTCCGACCCAAAAAAGAAATTTAACTTTGTATGTTTGTCTTCTAAGATTTCCTAAAACATTAAGGCCACGCTTAGGCAACCACGCACCCGAGAGGAGCGAGGATAAGCAGCTAGGGCGCGCTTCTAATAAATTAATTAGATAAGTATTCTCTAAAATGTACTATTTTAAGTCAAAACGAATAATTTTAACATAAAATCCACTATCCATATTGAAGTTCATCAAATAAGTGTAATTATTTGCGACAGGCTTTGGAATTTACATTTTTTTTAATTTACATGTAGGTACTTATTTTTAATAGCAATGAGATATGTGAGTATATATGTTTAGTAGTAGGTAAGGCGCTGGAAATTTTAAGCTTGCAGTTATGGAAAATGCTATTACTGTCTAGTCTAGTAATCGTTTGTATTAAGATAACATTTAGACCTACATATATTTTATTAGGATATATTTATAATATAATGTATATAAATTATATTTAATTTAGTGCTAATAAAAACTATTGTTACATTTACTCAAATATACTGTTAGGTGTGATAAATATTTAACATCAAGCTTTATTCTTGCTATATCATTGTCTTGTTGCTTTCCAAAATTCAAATTCATACTTAGTTACTGGAGAAGCTAATAATGTCGTCCTGACCAATTTCGGCCATGACGGCCAATCTCATTGAGACTAGCCAACTGGACAGGAGATATTATAGTGCACAAGTAGGCGCGCAAACACAAGTGTAGGTACTTCCTATTCCTTTTGCCCTTAAATTCTTGTGGAATGACAACTCAACACAATCGTTGAAAGATCATCCGTAGGACCAAAAGCTTTTCGTGTCGAAAATGAAGGTAAAATAAATATTTTTTTAAATATGTTGGGACATTAATACAGCACCATCTAATTCCATGGTAAGCTACGAGGCTTGTGTTATGGATACCAGATAGTTGAAACACTACACATATATTACTTTAAATATATACATATTACAAATATAAACACCCATGCTTGGAGTACAAACATTCGTGGTCATCACACAAATGAATGCCCCCAGCGGGACTCTAACCTTTTTTTTAACGTCAAGAAAACCCTGTTGAAGCGAGGCGGGTTATGTGGGGGCTCCTGCCGCGCAAATATGATAAGCGCACGGCAGCCTACCCACTAAAACCTGACGAAAAGCCACTTTGTCGCCACAAGGCTGGGGTCACAGGTATCCGGATTCCTCTGCAGAGCGGGACTCGAACCCGCGAAAGCTGGCATAGCAAGTACTTATGGTCACTACAAACTGCGTGCCAAACGTGTCGTCAAAGGTAATAAAAGCTTATTAAAAAAAATGCTAAACACATACCAATGAGAGGAGTAGCCGTCAGCAAAGCTCTCTGCTGCATAGACAACTCGAGGTCGCAGACCGCTGCCGCAACAACAAAGCTTGTGCCAAATAAGTCCATCCCCATCGCTTGTAACGTCCAGCTGCATGTTAGCAGTAACGCAAAATTGTATTTGCCAAAACCTATAATTATTTATTTATTAATAATTGTGTTTATTTTGTTTTTAATTGCTAATTATAATACTAATTCAGGCTTCAATCACGATCATCTGTACGTTCCAATTACGTTTTGCTTCGAGTTTGGGTTTGAGTTAAATAATTGATTCATATAGTCCGAGTACAATATAAAAGGTAAAATATTTAGTATATTTTGTTTTATTTAGGAGCTTCTGATGTTAAGTATGCTATAAATAGGAACTTATTCGATAAATATATAATAATTTTAATGTTCATTTTATAATATGCCATAAGAGCAAGGCTAAAGAAAACTTAGCATTTATAATTTTACCGCCCACGTCAAGTGGGCCAATATGATATTTGAATAACACTTCCAAAGATAAAATACAATTAGATCTCATTTAAATATATCTCTTTAATAAAAAACATTAATAAAAAAAACTGTTATGTGAGAGCCTAAAGTCTTTTCCCTCTCAAAACGTTACAGACAGTGTCCAAGTATTGTTAAAATTTTTACAATAACTAATGACCTGAGTCCCTAGATTTCCATCGCATTTATATTATTACGAAGCTCTCGGAAGGGATTTTTTAATTTTCCTATATAGTTATGCCATCTGATGATGCAAACCTTATGAAAATTTGTTTAGAACCTAGTTTTTTAAAATAAACCCTAACAAACAGAAACGCGGTGCGGTTTTCTTACCTAATGTTTTGTGAGAGAATATTTTAATATTTTCACTTACCAGTAGCATTGAGCGCATCTTCTACAGTCGTTGCATATGAAGGCTTTTCTTTTTCAGTGTCAGCCTTTTTTAAAGTTAACCCTGCTTTTAGCAGCATTTTTAGTCCTTTAAAGAATTTTTATAAAAAAATTAGCTATTCCATAAAATTTATGGTTGTTGATATAATATGGTTTTATTTTTTACCCAACTGCGTGACACAAAGAAGGGTAATGTGTTTATAAGTCTATGTATGTATGTTTGTTCCCATGTGGCGTTCTAGAGACCAAACGCGTGAACCGATTTTGATGATTCATACGTCGTTAGATTCGTCTTGATAACACGAGTATTATAGACTGCATAAAAATAGTTAAAAGTTAAAATGGCTGATTCCAGGTGTCATTTTCATCAATGTAAATGGGTATCAAGATAAAGATTTTAAGAGGCGATCACAAAAATATAGACAACTTTCATGTTTAAAAGCAATTTAGGATAAACAATTGCTAAATATTACTTCACTCTAATTGGCAAAAACTTAAAATGCAATTTATTAAAAAAAAAATTATTTGTTGATTTAAAACAAAACGGCTTCACCGATTTCGATAAAATTTATATGGGACCACCTGGGAAGTATACCCTTTGAAACTGGGAACCCTTAATGGGTGAACATACATAAAAAAAAGATTCCGACAAATTGAGAACATCCTCCTTTTTGGAAGTCGATTAAAAACTAAGTTAAAACAATAGCAAAAAAGAACTCTTATAAAATCAGTTATTTATGAAAAAAATACATAAATTAACACATTTTTAGACGTACTTATCTTAATTTTTTAAAATGAGCTTATTTAAATAAAAATTTGAAACAGATAAAAAAATACTTTATTCTCACCGTATTTTAAAAAATTCTGCTTACTTATTTTAAATAACAACACTTTTATAATTATATTAATTTATCATTTATCTATGTAAGTAAGTCTCTTTGTAGTTAGTTTTTAACAATAAGCTATCTTTAGAAAATACTATCTTTATATACTTTCACAGTATATCACTATCTCGCAAAGATCTATTTTAGACTGATTGTTACATGTGACTTCTTAAACAAGATAAATTATCATTAACAGAAATTGCAATTAAAAAGTTAGCCGCAATTAAAAAAAAACATTATCGTTACGATTAATAGTTACTTAGCTTTTCTATAATAACATATTTTTTTGTAAGTTTATTTTTGTTGTAATGTCATTTAAATGAATTTTTCTATGTACCGAGAAGAAAATACAAAAAAAAACAATCTATGCTTATAATAAAATTCTAACGGAGTCGAATCTGTACATTAAATATTTTTTGGAAATAAAATATTCATTATTATCGATACAGAGGCCGAATCTATAGTTTTTAGAACTTTTGTCTATCTGTCTGTCTGTCCGTCTGAGAACGCATCACGAGAAAACCACTGAACAGATTTTGATGAAATTTGGTATGATGATAACTGGTTGTCCGGGTTAACATATAGGATAATTTTTACTGCGAGAAAATTTCTAATCTCTGAGAAATCTGTACTAAACGTTAAAACTTAACTAGGGACACGTAACGTACAACGGACCAAATGCGAGTCTAAGTGCGAAAAACGAGTCCAATATACAATACAATATTTAACTAAGGACGAACCCGATCAAAGCCAGCCTAAGTCACTAGTATTTTATAATATTAAAAGTCTTAGGCATTGGTAGGTAGTAGGTAATGCGCTCGTTTGGGAAACCGAGTGAAGCGCCTTCAAATCCCGGGTCTCGCACCTCTGACATTTTCATGTGTACCTATCATTTCCAACATGATTACCAGTTTGCAAAACTCAATAAGATAGAGAAAAACTAGCCTAAAAACGTAAAACAAACTAGTAGTAAAATGTACAAGAATAGTTAAATCTTGCGCAAAATTAATGGAGATAAAAATGTAAGCTAAAAGTAAAAACAAATGTCTCCTCCCGAGATGTAAAATAAGTAGTCAACATGTAAAAAATCCCTTAAATCTTAAGGTCAATAACATTGTAAAAAATTCAAATTGTAAACAAGGTTTCTGACCCTCATGTCAGAAGAGTTCCGGCTTTATAAAAAAAAACATCATTACCACTTACTTGTCTTACGGTAAGGACATCATCGTGAGGAAACCTTCATATCTGACAGAACATTTTCGAAAGATATGTAAAGGCCGCTAATTCGGACTTGGCCAGCTATGGGCTGTCCCCCTCGTATTGAAGGGAGCCCCGTGCCCAACAGTGGGACGTTAAAAAGTGATGAATACAATTGAATAGAATTAAAAGTCTTCCTTTACATCACACTAATTTTATGAATACTAAAATTTGTTAGAAGTGAATGAGTGTGTTTCTTACCTTCTTTTTTAAGCCGAAAGGCTTAATGGATTTAAGTAAAATTAGAAATGGATATAGCTTATCTCCTGGATAGACACGTAGACTGCTTTATATTGACTAATACTTTTTTATGTTTTGAAAATATTTCAAAATCAAGTGTTTTAAACAGTGTTTAGTGCGCCTTCTAATGAATTCATTCCTTTAGTCGTCTTTTACGACACCGACAGGAGGAAATGGGGTAGCCCTATTCTGAACCGAGCTCTACACGTCTATTCATTCATTCATTTTTAAATCATCATCAAAAATATTTATTCGAAATAACAGAAAGACAAATGGTACCATTTATTATATATATATTATTATTAGCAAAGTAATCGTCTAGGATGTGAAAACCTCGTATAAACAAAACGCATCGCGTGTACCTTTCAATATTTAACTAACATCTAAAATTAGCTTTATGGATTCCCACAGCCGTTTATTTATGCACATACCTATATAATATTATCTATTTATTTATATACTATCCAATATTTATTTAATGCAGTTATTAGAGCCTAGAGATAGCTTCTTATTTCCTGTATTTATTTTATTTATTTAATTAATGATTAATTATAATCAATAAATATTGTACTTCATAAACATGCTATTTTTATTCGCACCTGTATTAAACTAATTTTAACGTTTTGTGTAGTGATAACTTACTACTCGGCCTCAGGTCAACATTAAGGATACTTTTTACTTCAAGAGAATCTTTTTCTCCTACGGGAAAACACAATAATTGGTCCTATCGAGTCGTCTTTAGAAGTTTATATTGGGCAGCGCTGGCTAAACCATCAAAACATTGTAGTATAAAATTGTACAGGTCTAATCAACAAAAACAAAAAAAACATAAGCAAGCAAACAAAGGCATAAGCATCGTGGTCAATCGGCCAAGGTACGAGATCAACAATTACAGGTGTCCAGGTTCGAATCTCGGTGGCATACAAAGTTGTTACTTTTATTATTTTTTTAATATTTATTCAAGTTTTTTTTTTTAAAGAAAATGGTACTTTAGGCCAAAAACTCCGAGCGAAGCTCTACCGAGCCGCCCAGGTACTATCTTTTTAAAACGCACCTAGGCTCGCACCCGAGCGACGCGAGGGTAGGTCGCTAGTATATAAAGCCCAAATAGCCGTTTTTTGGGTCATGGTATTTAAACAATTGTTATGGAAGTTTTGGCAGATATTGGCAACAATTCCATCGTATTGTTAGATAGAGAATTGTAAATCATATGAAGGTTCTCCAAGTCCATCAAGACAAAGGATAGAAACGAAAAAAAAAAACAATTTTAACCGGAATTCCTCTGACGGTTAGAGTTTCCCGTTCAAAATGAACATAGGCCTCTTTCTTATCCCAAGAAAAGAAGGGGCTTACGTATCTTTTTAAATTTAACATTTTTATTAAATATTTGCAATAGAAGTATCATTCTATCATTTTTATTTTTTCATTTAATACTTTTCAATCATTTTGGGCTTTTCCACTCGGCTTTTAGTAAAGTTTACATTTGACGTAAAATAATCGTGTATGTAATTATGTGATTTGTGATAAATGTTATCGCATGAAGCAGTCGCCAACATATTTTTAACATTGCACTGAGTGTTACTGACCTAGTCATCTTGACAATTCTATATATAGCCTATCTCTGTGGCTTAGTGGCATTTGTTTTAGAATATTTTTGTAGTAATTCTTAAAGCAGAGCATGGGTAGTGTAAAATAATTCAAAAAATCTTTTTTTTTTTGAATTAACAAAAAATTTTGGTATTGCTAAAATATTACGTTTTAAATGTCCTTTTTTGGTTATGAACTTTTACGTGTTTTACTATAGTAGATGGTATTACTCCATTAATAAGAGGTATCGGTAATTCATTTTTAGCCGACTTCCAAAAATGAGGAGGTTCTCAATTCGTCGAAACTTTATTTTAATACTATACCTTAATTAGGCACTTTACACTGGCAATATCTTAAAAAACATAAAAAATAAATAAAAAGAGATAAGAATAAAATGAAAATTCGAGTTTTTAATTACGTAATACACATCTGTCCTTTCCCTTCCATAACAATAAAAAAATTATAATTTTACAATATTTTCAATTTAACGTTTTATAATACATCCATCACACACTTTCCTTTCCGATGGTACCTACAGTCATGGAAATTTTATTTATGAACGCATCACATCATTTTTCTTTGTTTAGGGATTTATTAAAATTAGAATATGAATTTTAGTATTTTTTTCCTTATACTATTTTATTTGATTATATCCTAATAAGGGTCCGTATAAGTATTATTTCATCTGTATGTTTGTTAGGGGGAGGTACAAAGCCCCTTTGTGTTTCCTTAACGAGGCGCGGTTAAACACCTATGTATATCCTAGTATGCAACTTAGCACTCAAGTATAGCGTAGCTCACCCTGGCGCACTGAACTGATATACAGTTTAGTTTTTTAATTTAATTCAGGAGCACTGAAAAAAGCCAAGTTTCAAGTGAACTTGCCAAAAGAAGTTATTTTTATGTTTTTATTTCCTTTTGATTCTTTTTTGGTGATGATGGTAGGCAACGTTTTGCCCTAAAAAGCTATGGTCAGTTTTTACGATTGATAAATCAGATAAGGTGCTCATTTTTAAGTATATATTGTTTAATGTTTAAAAAGAATAAGTTTTGAGCATAGGTTAAGGTTTTTTTTGCGTATAGAAACGTCTGAACCTATATATGCGATTATC